TATTGTATCAGGGTACGAGTGTATTTTATAATTCTAAAACATTTACATGTCCTTGATCGATCGCGTACCTTTTCCTCATTTGTTTGGGGTTTTTAATGGCCGGGATCGATCAATTTCGCTAAATGTAATATTTAAGCCCTAATGATCTCGCTTAACGGTCTAGCTCTTTCATGTATTTAAGACTTTTTCAAAATAGCATATTGTAGAGAACATTATTGAGCCATTGTTATCAATGTTTGTAATTCACGTATATTGTACCATGTTCGTAACACCATGATTCTTCAATAAACGAAAGTGGCAGAGCTCACTTTTGAAGTGGCAGAGCTCACTTCCTTTCATATTGTAATTCGTATCTTCTGTTGCATCGAGCAAAGTAAAGAATCTGTGTACTGTCCACGTATGGTAATGTATCATAGACGATGTACTATAACAGTACATATTATACATACTCCCGGGCCAGGCTATCTTACATTGAACCTGATAATCAGTATAAGTGATTTAAGGCTGCATGTATAGTCTAAAAATAGTTAGCCAAGTGGTCTTATCAGATATCCAAACAAACACATCTTGGCGGTAAATCAAATAGCTAAGGTCAATAAGAAGTACCAGTATTAAGAAAGTTCAGTAATAAATAACTGACCGTTGGTGGCCTAGTGGTTAAGGCGTCGGACTAGTAAACTGGCGCCCTGGGTTCGATCCCTGGTTGTACCGACAGAAAGCATTTTATTAAAATTCCTTATAACCGTTGAAAATCCCCGGGAATAGTGTGTACCTGGGGGCTAAGCGAAGCTGCCCCCAGGGGCCCCCAGGAAATCCGGTTATCTCTCTCCTTTAGACTACTACTCATAAAAAGTATAAAAAATATTTTTGAAAGTTTCCAGGTTTACAATAAGTGTATTTCATTTGACCATATATGGGCATTCGTAGAAGGTGGAAAGTATTGATCATCTTGTGATTGTTAATTGAAGAATAACACGCAACTTGTTGTTTGTAGTTGATAATACCCCCTAGAAAGTATATGGGTAAAGAAGAATGTTTATGGGGCATATAAAGCTTGGAAAGCCATTGATTAGTGTTTGCCTGGTAACGATGGAATGAAGCCTTAAGAATAGATTTCCTTACATGGCATTTAGATTTCGCCTCGGAATTCATTATTTTCCTGTAAAAATTGAACGCGATTAATTTTTGATACAGAATTTATGTTCGTCCCTTTTCAATATCATTTGGTTTATTTGATTTTATTAATGTAGCTGTTGTTATGGTGGCAATGGTATGTTTGGTTGTGTGAAAGGGTCACATTTCTTCAGCCACTGGCTGATAAGAATTATTGATTATGAAGAGAAACAGTCATGATAAATCTTATAAACTGCCATTTAAACTTGGATCAGTCGAGCAAGAAAGTAGATTTTTAGTTGAGTTATGTCTGACATTCTCGATAATTCCATTTTATTGTAGAATCCCTGGTTCTATGACATCGCAAATTGAATGCACAATGTCTCAATGGGTTTGTCTCCCATGGCAGGATGAGTCAGAAAATCTCTGTGTGTTATACTATACAGTATAATCAATTAGTTTTGTCTGATTTCATAGAATTCAGTTTCACATTATCTAGAATATATAGATATGTAATGGTTGTACAGTAAAACCTGTTTAAGTGGAACATTTGTGGACTTTAAAATATGTTCCACTTGGGAGGTATTCCATTTTTAGAGGTTCATTTATTTAACATTAAATCATTTGGGTACTTAGGATGTAGAAAAGTATTCTTCTAACAGAGGTGTTCTGCTTCTAGAGGTGTTCCATTTTACATTATACCAATCAACACCCAATATTCAGTTGCATTTTGTTTTAAGTGTATCAAGATAATTAGAATGTCCCATCAGAACTCAGGAAATTATCAGTATCATACACTCCTTTCTTTCATTCCTCGGAAAGAGGCAATTTCCTGTATTTCTTGCTGTTAGCATGTTAAGAATTACATTTTGAATGATCGTCATGTGCAAACATGATGGGAAAGAATTGATGACATTGAAAAGCAAATTAATCTAAGGTATCTTATGGTGTGTGTCTAGCCTTGCATCAATATTGTGTATGTACCTTCCCCTTATTCATTCCCCGTATATTCTCTATCTTCTGTGATAGGAAAGAATAAAGGGGTGGGAGTACAGTCATATAGTATACCTCTTACAATACAAAATAAACCTTTTTTTATTATACACATTCATCAAAAATGGTTTTAGATTTAGGATTCATCAAGTCTGGTACTCCCGACTGCCCTGCCCTTGGTCCTTTTTCCTGAGATGTGGGGATGATAGAGTTTCAGATTAATTCAGAAAATATAAGTAAACCATACAATATGTATGAAAACAAAGAGGAAAAACCTCTAAATGATTAAAATGTCTTCACTCAAGCGTGGCAGGTTATTCCAACCTCAGTCTCAAAATTACTTCAAAGCCCAGGAGTATTATATAGATAGGATTCGTGTGTGAACAACTTTTAGGATTATTTAATTTGGAATTCCCCTGGTTTTTGTTGATATTTTCATTTCCATGTTTTCACTGTTTCGAGTCAAGTAAATGCCATTCATTAGGAAGCATACGAGTGTCTGGTTTTTGTGTATGTTTGCTTGAAGATGGACTAACAGAACTCAATATTAATTGTTTTAATAAATGAAAACACCTGATCGATTGACTGAGACGAAGATACTAATTCTGTAACGGATGATTTTCTAAAAAAATATTTTAATGAAAAAAATCTGATCTATGAGACAAGTTAATGAATCTGTGATGGACACTTTGTCCTGAACAATTGATTCCAAATAAGGTAATATCTATGCAAGTCTCGCTCGAGATTATTCCGTGCTCTCTATATCATCATTGGTGGAGACAGCAGTTGACGTAAGGAAGGCAATGCGTAAGGGCATAAATCCTATTGCTCCCGTCAAATTAATGCAAACATAGACATAATTAAAACTTCCGTTAATCTTTAGGAGTGAGTTCTATCAATTTATCATTACTATGTAGCCTTCTTGTATCTATCTTATATACTGAACCATCATCCATCAAATCCAAGCACTCATAAACCAACAGGATCTTATTGTTATTCTGGTTTATGTTAACCATGATCTTTTTATCTTTAGTGAGCATCATACTGGCTTAGGTATCAAGAAACTTTAGAGATCGTATGGTCAATAGCATCAAGCTGATGTCCTCCCTTCTCTGTCCCCATCTCTAACACACTTTTGGCTGGGGTTTACATGAGGCAAAAAAATTAGAAAACTCTACTTGGTATAGGATAAAGCAGTTATGTATGGTCGGTTTGGATATAGGGTTCATCCCTCGTGAGATATGCACATCTACCTTCGGTACCTACGGTCCCTCAGGTAGATATGCATATCTCCCTCTGGATAAACCCCATATCCAAAACCTCCCAGTACATAACCCTTATATATATAATTTTGCAAAGGGAAATCATCGCGCATCACAGATATTCACTCCATATAAGTAATTGCTAACCTATCTACTGACTCCTCAGAAAAGCTGTTTTATGAATAATATCATTGAAGGAGATAAAAAAGTCAGAACCAAATCCCATGGATCACCAAGTAAAGTCTACTTCTGGCTTATACCTGGCTTATATTGCACGAATAAATTGATTTTATATCAGTCTTCTTTGCGAGATATTTTAGGATATTCTCCACCCAAGATTTATTTATTCCCTTTATATTTCAGAATAGATAAGATTGGAATAGTATGAAAAGTATTATACACTTTCTTAGTTAGTCTTGCTCAAAGACTGTATCCCCCCCCTGTCACCTTCACTCTCTTTACCTGGGAACATACAGAGAGAAGGATAAAGGGGGGAGGGGGAGTACAGGGTATTTTTAACAAGACTATTTCTTAGTTAGATTGCTTATATCTTTCACTGCTAAGTCCTACTAACAAATATTCACCATGCGGAACCAAAAAAGAATATTTCCTTTATGATGGTTGGAGAGTGATATAATTATTCTCTCAAGACATTCAAAAACGAAAATTGAAATGTTCAAAATATTACATTTCTACATCTGAGTCACAAGACTTCAGTAGTTGCATAGCTATATCCAGTAGAAAATGACAATGTCCAATCTCCCAATCTTTTACATTATATGTTTGGGGAAAGAATTGATCACACCACTTCTTGATAAATTGAGCAGCTTTATCTTGAACATAAACCAATCATGTTTTTTAGCAATACCCAGAAAAAATAAATTGCTTCAAATTTCAAACAATTTCAGTTGTGATTTGGTTCATTGACTGAGGCTTTATTTGTAAATGGATGTCATATTTCTAAATGAGAGTCACAACTGAAAAATGAGATACATTAAATAATTTTCTCGAAATCTATTAATTTAAGGCTGTGTGTTTTACTTTTAGCGCCATCTTTATCAGTAGTGTACAGTGCTGCAGAGCTATGCATGAATCCCTTTAGTATAGAAAGTATGGTGGTCATGTTGAATTTATATTCCTTTAAAGACCTGACAGAAGTGGATGATTTTCTTCTATGCTCTATATATTTAGAGAGTGTGCTTCATATACAATTTATTTCTTGCTCAGTTCACTTTATTCCATTATGGAATTTATTCCATATATGGAAAAACATGACCATCAATATGCTAGATAGTTTTGCTTCAAGCCCCTTTGACTTCCATTTCCTGAAACACCTTATGCCCACATTAGGTGAAGTAGATGTAGTGATCTAGATATGCAGGACCAGATTCAGGCCCGTAGCCAGCTTTTGCCAATGAGGAGGGGGGGGGGGGGTGTTCAGTTTGTAAAAAGTAAAAAACTTCAGGGAATTCAAATTTGACACATTTTGTCCCAAGATCACTCGAAAATGCACAAAATTGTGAAAACTGCATGGTTTTGAGAGATATTGAAAATTCCTGGCTACGAGTCTGAGATGCTAGAATAATTTCCACCCTGGTATTACTAACCCCTTGCTTGTGTGCTTTATTGTAGTTGGTCCCTTCCAAAGTGAAGCTTTACTCGTACCTGAGGAATGCAACTTTGATCACCTCCATAACTCTAAGCAGTGTGTCGTCTCGGAGGATTGGAACAAAATTGCGACAGAGTCATGCCGACAACAGGGCAAAGTCATCCAAAGCTTCGCTATGTTGTTGCCTTGTGGTGTCGCTAAGTATAACGGCGTAGAGTTTGTATGCTGTCCTAGTGAAAAAGGTTCGTAGTCAGTCAACAGTCTGTGATTTAAAGAGTCTTCGCACATCATGAACTGATGACTTATATGCATGACTTATAGATACCTTGAATTTGATTGGTTGAGATATTGCTATTATTATTACCAGTCAAATTACAGATATCTGTATATTCAGTTTTCATGAGCGAAAACTCTCAGTATTAATGTGTAACAGCTGTATATGAAAAGCAAATATCTTTAAACAATATCATTCCCATATTTATTCCAATATCACACCTGAAATTGTACTTATACAGTAGGTTATGATGACTAATAATTGGAATGATTCAGTTTCAAATTGGATTTGCATTTATTAATAATCGTACCATTTCTTGATATTGAAGTTACAAATATATGTTCTACGGACATCTAAAGATATTATGTGATAAACAGCCTTTGCACAATGATGTTGTGAATACATTTGACATATAGCATGCAACAGAGGGATGGCCATTAAAGTAATTGTTTGTTGTTACTGTTCTTTCAATAGAGACAAACATTGACAATTTTTTTGGAGCTTTAATGGCCATTCTCGTACCTATAATACCTATAATATATAGTAATCGTCTATTCCCGCTTCTTCTCCGCATATAGCAATCTATAAGAAACAAACCTTTATAGGATGGAGTCTATATGAAATAGTTTAAGAATATCTTTTTTTATTCAGGCCAAAGCAACATTGAGAATCATAAGGTCCTTGAAAAATTATTTTGATGCAAATAAAGCTTGTTGTGTTTCTTGACCGATATATATTGAGAGATGTATATATTATTAAGTGATATAATGGTTCAATTTTTGCTCACAGAAGTGGTGTAGGATGGCGTGGTATAATATATAATGATGGTGATATACTATTGGATATCAGTGTTATTCACCTATTCTGCCACCACCAGAAGTGGATGGTGTTGGTGTCCAGCCATTGGTGGTTGCCATTCGGCATTCAGTATCTGTAACAAATGGTTGGTAGTGACATTTTGCTTCTTAATGTCTTCTTTGTAAATATGAAATATGATTACAAGTGAACAGGTGTAATGTATGATAGTGTAATATAAAAAATATGAATAATTGGACAGATTTTGAGCGAAGTGTTTGTGTATGGATTATAGTAGTCGGAGTGAATTATGCTGAATTACGCTATAGGCACAGAATCATAAAATACCCGTAAAGCAGGTTATGTGGGTATCTGAAGTCATCTTAGTGAAAAGGGTAAATATAAACATAAACTAAGAATACGGATGAAATATATAGATGAATAACTCTAATCTATTGTTTATATTGACAGTGATTTACTGCATTTTACATGGTTAATAAATCCTATCCCGGAACATTGGAATAGTTATTATATTTTCAGCTAATTGATTATTTAATATATTCAATTGTCAGTATCTAGGGGCTACTGCTTTATAATTTGATAAAGTATGCATGCAATCTCCGTGTTGTGCTGGTTGTGACATCCCATTTTTGCAACCCTTTTCAGCATTTGGTTCATAAATAATTGACACAATTTTATTTGAAACTCATTGGATGGAAATTGCCATGGTTTTAAGTTGATGAAATGTGACATCATATTTGTGAATGTCTTATATTTTTGATATTATTTGATTTGATGCTCTTCAGGTGAAGGACAAAGGGGGGAATAGAAGTTGGATTTATTTATTTCTCATATTACATTATACTTTCTAATTGGCAAGTTTATATGAGAGGGGAATTGCTGTTAACTTTTTGCAACATTTTCAGCACACAGTACATTTACTTATATCAGCAACTTGAGAATAATTTGAATGTTTTAACTTTTACAGGTTTAATTAATTTATCATCTTTTCACAATGTTTTTATAGTTTATTATCATTCCTCTGTTATCAAAATGATTTTGTACAATTATGATTCTGTGGATAAAATAGTTCATTTTCTCCGAGGAATTTCTAATGATTATGATTAATTACTGGCCCAGAATTTATCTGTATATAGTTCCCTACTCGCTCTCATTACGTCAATAGAGTTTCTCTTGAAGAACAAAAAAAGAAAAGGCCAAGATAGCATGAGATATGCAGCATAGGAATATTTGTACATACAAATCAAAAATGGGTTAATTTGAAATGGATATTGATTAGTTTCGAAATCTTCCGTGAGCCTATCTGACAAAAGGAATTCAACAGAATACTAATTTGAAACATTGTTTAGTCAGTTGTTTACTACATTGATTTCAGAATCTGTGGTGTATATTCAGATCAAACACGATTGTATTTTGCTGTGTTTCAATTTCAATTATTTGTGCATCGATATCTATTGAGAATGTCACAAGGGAAGCAATACAATCAGCACTGCCACCTATAACAGTTGATGGAACTATCTTTATCCCCCGATTTGTATATTAATTATTATGTCACCACCACAAGTCGTGGCATATTGTTGTTGTCTCCAACTTTTTTTGTGACAGTGGTTAATGTCTCAGGCATTCAGCATTCAGAGTGGCATCTGTAACAAATGGCGGGTGGTGACATTTTGCATGTCAATGCCTTGTATTGTCCTTGTTGTTCACCTTATTATCACTTTCAACGGTCCCATTACTTTGATACTAAGGAGATGACGTGATGAAAACAACTTCATCATAATGAGAACAATTGCATTGCCCACCTTTATGACTCAGGATTAAGCCATGTCTTTCTATAGTTGTTCATAGTGTTTATAAGGTGATCTATTTACCTAGATGAAAAAAATGAAAAATTTATAAGATATGTATGGTCAATCACCAGGTATGGTAAATCACCCGGCATGGTTAATCACTATATATTGTCAGTTGCCAGTTATTGTTCATCATCAGTTATGGTAATAATTGTAAATAACCAGGAATAGTAAGTCAACAGGAATGGTAAATCAACATGAACGGTAAATCAACAAGAATGGTAAATCAACAAGAATGGTAAATCAACATGAATGGTTAATCAACATGAATGGTTAATCAACATGAATGGTAAGTGAACAGGAATGGTAGATTAACATGAATGGTAAATCAACATGGATGGTTAATCAACATATGTGGTTAATCAACATGAATGGTTAATCAACATGAATGGTAAGTGAACAGGAATGGTAGATTAACATGAATGGTAAATCAACGGGATTGGTAAATCAACGGGATGGTCTTTCACCTCACGAACAGTTTCAAATTAAAATCATACAATGCTGCATTGCTGTCATCTTTGGTCTAATGGTACAATTCTTTCTATAGAAGTAAAGCCCGATCTTGAAGAATGCCTTGATGTATTTTCAGTCCACAGTTTTGACCATACATATACTCAGACCATCTCTGCCTTGTAAATAATCTAGAAGGAAACTGATAGGAGGCCGTGATATCTCACCCTCATGATGAATTTTGATGTTTAGTAAAATAAGTTTTATTCTTGTTCTTAACCAGCGGAATAGGTGTAGAAAAAAATATTTCCTGTAATGAGTAAAAAATGTAATCAAATTTCTTGAGTTGGTTATGTGTTCATTTTAAGCAGTGATCTCCGCAGGATTTTTTCTCAGGTGGGTGCAAAATTCTCATTTTCACAATTCAGACCAAAATTGGCCAAAATTTTTCATGATTTTTCTCATTTCCAAGTGGGTGCAAATAGATTTTCAAATGGATGCAAGCCTATTTTTAGAATGCTGGGGAGATCACTGTAAACTGGTAAAGGTTGTCATTATTATTAAGTGTCATCTACATTTGCCAGATTAGAAAATCTCTTCACAGTAAACTCTGCATTGTCTGTTTTATTCCATAATTCAGTTGACGGTAATACGTTTCCATGGCAACTGAAAATGAAGGAAAGTGCTGGCTTAATGAGTAAACATCCCTCAGGCGATAGCTGTAATAATGTGTGTAATAAATAGCATGTCAGGCTAGAAATAGAGAAATCTGCTTTGAACATCGTGTGAATTATGAGATAAGCAATTATGTATGGCACGATCACACATGATCGCCTTTTTAGAAGTTTTTTTATCATACTACTTGTGGGATAGTTGTCACAGTTTTGTAAAGTTAAACATTTTCATGATTATGCTGTGTGTCCCATATCTGAACAGGATGATTTCATAAAATTTGTTGGCTAGATTTGTTCAGATGTAAGATTTTATTATTTTGTTTATTAGGTCCTTGAGCCGATTAAGTTTTCTCGTTTTAATAAAAGTACAATAGCCTCTTATATTGCCTAAACAGCCCGAGGGAATAGTTATAAATGCTTCATTATTTTACAATAGGCCATTTGGAGCTCTGTTTTATGGACTATTTGTCCTTTTAATGCAGTGAATTGTACATTCCCCTTACAGCTCCCAATTTCTGTGATAACACATCTGTAATCAGAATGTTCAGTTTCCAATCTCCGAGCCTTTCGTCCAGTGCAATCCGTACCTCCGGTGCCTTACTTCATGCAGATCTTTAAATTCCTGCGAAATTTACTCTTCTAAACATTTTAAACTCCTTCAAAAAATGTATTTCTTTGCGTTTTATTTGTTTTATTTTATAAAATGTTTATTTTTTCTAATGTAGTAAGAATTCATTCATAAGAAAAATATTAAGTAATTCGTAACAAACTGTTAAAATAAGTGAATACTACTGTCTTAGGTATATGCAAGGACTTTCCGATCAGAAATTGTTTATTAACACCGTTGCTATGCAGTTCGTTTTGAAGTGACGTCATCCCCATATTCGTAATTTTCAACGTAGAATAAACGAATACCACATGTCGATGTGATGTTTTAATCGTTAAAATTCTTTCTTTCTCAGATCGTGCCCCGGGAATTTTAGAACTATTTTAACAACGTCAGAGAGGTAGTGAAGGTACGCAATGAACGAAATGAATTTTGAGAATGTTCAATTCCCAAATTATATGAAACCCCAAATTGTCATTAGTTAATCTCTTCTTTATTGAGGATCTATTTAACCCTTTCTCTTTTGCTGTGGTTTAGGTATAAATCACATTCCAAAGAAATTCAATAATGAAGACAAATTGCTGGATTGAAACACAATCTCTCACGGAGTATTGCTCATTTGTTCAGACATTGGAACGTGATTTGTAATAATGATTTATCATTCTTGTGAGACTATTTGTCCAAATTTGTTGAAATTCACATTTATATTGATCTAACATGATGCTTGAATATTGATCCCTTATTTGGAGGTGTAATGCTTTGCCAGGTGCTCAATTCTCAATACACATAGATTACACATAATGCTGGTGTTACACACAATGCTGGTGTTACACACAATGCTGGTGTTACACACAATGCTGGTGTTACACACAATGCTGGTGTTACACACAATGCTGGTGTTACACATAATGCTGGTTCTACACACAATGCTGGTGTTAAACACAATGCTTGTGCTACACACAATGCTAGTATTACACACAATGCTGGTGCTGCACACAATGCTGGTGCTACACACAATGCTGGTGCTCCGTACAATGCTGGTTACACACAATGCTGGTGTTATACACAATGCTGGTGCTACACACAGTGCTGGTGTTATACATAATGCTAGTGCTACACACAATGCTGGTGCTACACACAATGCTGGTGCTACACACAATGCTGGTGCTATGCACAATGCTGGTGTTACACACAATGCTGGTGCTACACATAATGCTGGTGCTACGCACAATGCTGGTGCTACACACAATGCTGGTGCTACACACAATGCTGGTATTACACACAATGCTGGTGCTATACACAGTGCTAGTGTTACACACAATGCTTGTGTTACACATAATGCTGGTTTTACACATAATGCTGGTGCTACGCACAATGCTGGTGCTACACACAATGCTGGTGCTACACACAATGCTGGTATTACACACAATGCTGGTATTACACACAATGCTGGTGCTATACACAGTGCTAGTGTTACACACAATGCTTGTGTTACACACAATGCTGGTGCTACACACAATGCTGGTGCTATGCACAATGCTGGTGCTACGCACAATGCTGGTGCTACACACAATGCTGGTGCTACACACAATGCTGGTATTACACACAATGCTGGTGTTACACACAATGCTAGTGTTACACACAATGCTGGTGCTGCACATAATGCTTATGTTACACATAATGCTGGTTTTACACATAATGCTGGTGCTACGCACAATGCTGGTGCTACACACAATGCTGGTGCTACACACAATGCTGGTATTACACACAATGCTGGTATTACACACAATGCTGGTGTTACACACAATGCTAGTGTTACACACAATGCTGGTGCTGCACATAATGCTTATGTTACACATAATGCTGGTTTTACACATAATGCTGGTGCTACACACAATGCTTATGTTACACATAATGCTGGTTTTACACATAACGCATATGTATTATACAAACAATGCTGGTATTACACATACATTAATAATAATATAGCACAAATTAAGTATCTCCCTTCACTGAATCCCCTTGAGTCAACATATTGATTTATATTGAAATTCCTACGCATGTAGAACATTCTATCTTGGATTCTACATCTCCTCAACTAATTATTTTCAGAACAGGATGAGGAAGCCCCAGATTACTGGTTGTGCTTTTCAGGGTACTCCCCACAGCAAGCTTACTTTGTGTTTTTGCTTGGATTATCACTGTCATTAACATAGCATATTTGTCACAATAGATTTATTACAAATGTAGATTTGTTGATGTGGATATCCAGTCATAGTATTGCTATTTTGCGAGAAGTTATTTTATCATTTGAAGCATTAATCTGAAAATCTGAGAAAGTATTATATAGCAAGTGACATTCTCAACCAATCAAATCAACCCATCGTTAAGCCTAGATATAGCTCCAAAATTTTGAATTCTGTATCCTCTAATATAGTCTAGCCCAGATATTCCCATGTTATCCCATAGTAGGTTTTCTCTCTCTCAGTGTCAACTTGGAGATTGGAACTTGATCAAGTCGTTATGCTTTGACAGGAGATCAATAGTCAGCAGAGGGTACTCAATAAACACAATGAAATAATTAATTTATCCAAGTAGTTGTCTGCCAGTGGCAGCAAGATTCAATCATGGTTAATAACATTTATGAAACAAACCCATTTTTCTCTTTGGAGAAGTTGTGCCATGAATTTTCGATAAAGGATGAATGGCGAGAATGGGTGTATGTGAAGTGTATTTGGTTGGAGAGTTATCTCAAAGTAGCTCAGGCTCAAGAGAAAGCTGGTGTCCTTAAGTGAGTGATCAACAACTGCTATCACTGCTCCATTCAGAAACTACAATCAGATTTATGGGTGAAATGCATAATGTTACTAAATAGCCTGTTTATGATGCAAAGAAGGACCATAGCCATAGCAATAACAGCCAGGATTTTCCAAGGGGGGGTTCACTTTTTGAAAAATTCAAGGGTATCACTTGTGACAATTTTGGTCAAAAATCACATAAAAGGTGCTCAGAATGGTAAAAAACTGCATGATTTTGAAAGATTTTTTGGCTGGGATCGAACCTCCCCTGGCTATGGGCCTGAATAAAATTGGTATATAGCAAGGATGAACTACTCAGTAACTAATGGAAACAGTTGATGACATTTGATTTAGCTGTGGGAAGAAAGTTTTCATTTCTTCCTCCCTTCAGATGTAGTACCCCCTCCCCTAAGTTGTTGTAAATCTCAATCACCTATTCATATTAGTTTTCACATAAACTAACTATACTGTACTACACCTGTGCTTTCAAAATATACCTTACCATTTGCACCAGCTGTACTAAGTTATAAAGCGCTTTGATCGACGCTATTAGGAAATTGATCGATATTGATTGTTAAGAATAATATAAACGTGATGGAGAGAATCGCGTAGGTGATTTGATGGTGATTACCAGATGATAACTTCTCTAAAAGGTTGTTTTTTTTATTTTGTACAAGGTCAATATCTCGATTAGCAAGGTTTCATTTTCTCCAGCATTAAATAACAATTTTTGAAGTTCAGGGATGCAAGATGCAAAAATGCATATATGTCAACACAAAGGCAAAAAGTTCTTTTTTGAAAGAGATAATTTTAAGTCTTGTATTAGTTTTTGAAGACTACATTGATTTTTAAGGAAGTTCTGTCCGTGAACAATTGGCCTGGTTCTCTACAATCTATATTAATGTATTTGATATCATAAAATGAAATGTGCGTAAGGAGAGATTTCTTGTTACATAGTTGGTTTTATTCACTTTATTTTTTACTCTATTGTATGACAGGGATGAAGGAATCAAAATTGCAATTCTTTGGTCTTACATTTTTCTATGATTGTACTAATTTGATGTGGTAACAGCACATGGGCTATGAGTCACCATCGATGACAAGATAACTCTGCTTGAACTACTTCGAGGAGCATACAAAGACACAAAGATAATACACTGGTCATACAGCATCGTGGTGAAAGCAGTGCAACTCAAGCATTACAACTTTAACATCATTAGATGATGACCTCCCGAATGTTAACTACCCCTTATAACATGTTATCCCCTTTACAGCACAAAAAGAAAAGAAGGAGAAACACACCCATGAAAAGAAAGAGAAGGCCAAGGAGCACAAGTCTAACTCTGTACAGAGCAGCACTGAAACACCTGAAAATGACTACTACAAGTACATGCACAATGGTAACATGGACAAGTACCTGAATGAACATGAGAAGTTCAAGGCTGCAGAGAAGTCCTGGTCGCAGATACACCAAGAGGGAATAACACGTGTGAGTATGAATTCTGTGATTTAAATTGTTGGTTAATATCACAGTTAAGTGATCAGGTTTTTAAAGCAAAATAATGATTAGTATAATGTAAACAGGCCTTGATCCTGAATCCTTTAAGTTTGTATAGAAATGACCAATGACAGAATAGCATTGAAAAAAATATGAGAAATGATTACCTCATTCATAATATGCGCAGGAGGAAATGGAGTATTAGTTTTGATTGAAGAGGCCTTTCAAGCATGGGATGAGATGATACACAGGAATAGTCTTGCATCAAGTCATTTGACCCTCACTTAGTCTACTTCACATGGTATGTTGGGGTATACAAGGAGAGGAGTCACATGAGCTTGAAGATAGACTAGAAAATCTTTGTTACTATCATATCAAGTCCTTGATCATCTTGAGAATTTTTAAATGTTGAATGTTATATCTGTAGATGATGAAGGACTGGGCAGAGGCCAGAGAACAAGTTCAACAGATGAAGGGCAATGACCCTCGTGGGGCTGACGCTATCAACAAGGAGATCACTGAGGTAGATAAATAGATGTAGATAGACCTTGTCATGGAAACCAATATTTAGCATAGATACAAGTATTCCTTGTCATGACAGTTGTGATTAATTCAAGTTAAATGATCTGCTTAATAACAAAGATTCGAGAATGGAATTTGCTTGTAGAAGAGTTATTGCGACATTATCAGTATGCTTGGCATTTCTCTTCTTTTGGTTCTTTAAGGAATTCTGGGTCATAGAATTACTTTCTAGGACGAGATCAAACGACCTTGACATATCCTTCACACTACCTATTTTGTAATTTAACAATCAACACAATATTTAAGGAGATATCAGGCAAATGTTTAACATATTTTTTAATATAACCACCATTTTCTCAACTCTAAAATTCACTTCAGATTTGGTTTATCGAAAAGGTTAGCTGAAAATTGGAGTCCACAACTTTAATCCTCAGTCTAAATATGAATTTTCAAGGTTCAACCAGCCAACTTTGAATGGACCTTCATGAATACTTTGAAAATAGAATCATCAGAGAAAGGTTTAAACCATGCAATCATCTCTATGAAACCAGGAAAAAAATTTTAACCCTTTTATCAGCTCTACAGTACCATATGCCTTTTAATAAATACATAAATGTTGAATTTCAAAGATGATTCTCTAGTTAGCTATAAATAACATAAAAGATTGATTTGAATAGGCCTCTGGTGGCATTTCCTAATGTATGGGGAAATTATATAATTCCCGGATGAACACCTAAGATAAAGTATATCATCTGAATTTCATTTCTGTAGGCAGTCTTCGCTAATGGACTGCTCGCTACATTAAAGGCGTAGATCACAAATTGTGATTATTATCATGGGGTTTACTTAAGCATCTATCTTGCCCTTTTTGCAGAGACGAGCATTTTCTTTGTGTCTCTCACTTATTTCTCGATTTAAGTCATGATGAAATGAAGCAAGATAGGCATGTACAGTGTACATTTAATTCTTGTCATATCTTGTATATCGCCAGCATTCATTTTCTGTTAATGCAAAATGTTACATATTTAGATATCAGGTCTTAAACTTAAATGAAGAAAGTACTTTGAATCATGTGTGCAATTGTCAGGAGGATTCATTTAACCATGAAATAATGCATGGAAATATATTTTAATGTAAAAGGACTTGTATGAAATTGAAATGTTTGCATTATGTAATTTTATACTTAACTGATGGCTTTAGATAGTGAAGGTACATATTCCAAGAAAGTAATAAGTCCCTCAATGTTTGTTTGTTAGTTGAATACACACATAATTCATTACAAATTAACAAGTACGATTAAAAAAGTCTGGTTAATAAGCTTGTATTTCACTGATGTCGTCCATTATTACTTTTAACACTGGGCCAATTCATTTGATTTACACCTTTGTATGACATTTACAAATAGCTTATGTTTTGGATGAGAGTAATTCAGGCCTGTAGCCAGTTTTTGCCAATGGGGGTCACTTTTCAAAAATTCCAGTGGGTTTCACATTTCACAACTTTGAGCCAAAATCACTTGAAAAGTGCTCATAATGGTAAAAAATGATGCATGATTTTGAATGAATTTTTGGCCAGGGAGGCTTGAACTCCTAAATCCCCTTGGCTACGGGCCTGTCATTATTATGTAATTTTATAAATTCACTTAAGGGCACAGTTATAACGAGTTTATTGTTATATGTTTACAGAGGTTCCAGAAGACTTACAGTGCCTTTGAACAGGAGGGTATGGCAGAAAAGAAACAGCTCGTCGCGCTTCATCAGCAACATGTCCAGGTGTTGTTCAATGAGAAACGCCGTAAAGCCATTGAGCAATACACTGACTCTCTGATGCAACTAGAACCAGAGGTAAAGAATTAGGATAAGGGGTCTTTATTTAAAAAAGAAATACCTAGCCAATGATGGGTATAAGGGGTCTTTAATTAAAATAGAAATCAAGAGTGATTCATTCATTTTAGAGCAAGGGGTTAAGTTGGCAATTTTTTTGTTTTAAGGGGTCTGATATTAATTGACATGCAGTCATCTAGGGAATCAGCAGATTCTATTGTTATCAGAGGAAATTCTATTATGTTGATGGTTGTTCCCAATATAGAACATAAAGATCCACTTTGAGAGGTATTAGATTTGCTCTTACCATTTTACACTAAAATTCTGTCACAAACAACTAAACATTTGTCTTCTCCAAAATACAAGGGCTACAAGGTGTATGATTATTACTCACTTACAACAAATATCTTTATCATACCCAGTGCACCCCCCCCCCCCCGAGGACACCCTTGTTATTATGTGTACTAAACTCATAGGCTTCAGCTTCACATTCTAGTGTTGAAGTACACCTGTAATTGACTATGACAGGTGAATTTAGAAACCACCTGTATTGATATTCTATACTGAATTGGATTAACTATTCTACAGTAGTGAATCATCATTACAGATTAGCTCAGCTATTTGAATATTCTATACTCCCTGCAAGGAACTAATATGCCCTGGAAGAAGTAATAAGTAATGCATTTTGAGTACAGGTTGAAATAACTGAGAAAGGGAAGCATGCTAAATTAATTGGAATGTGGAAATATATTTTTTATGAGAATAATGTAAATGACTTGTCATCTTCTATAAGAAGATCTCGTCTCTTATATCAGTGATTTGCATACTTTGAGGTGCTTAAAGTATTTCTTCAAGTCATTGCTGCACTCTCTCAGTAATTCACTGTCATTATTGCATTACGTCTGTCGTGCCCAGTAAAGTATTGACTCGAGAAATGACTTTCATCAACCAAGTGCCCCCCCCACCTCATTGTCAAGAATTGTTTACATTGGTAGATTACTGTTAAGACAGGGATAGTTATTGCAGTGTATCATATCTGTCCTTCAAATTAGAAAAATATTATTTATGTATTTTTTCAATTCCAGGCCACTTCCATCATCCATGCCTTGAAACATCTGATCAAGGTAGAGGAGAAAGATCGTCAACATACTGTGAACCACTTCAAGCATGTCCAGGACACTGACCCAGTGGAGGCTGACCGCATCAGGGCCCACACCATTGAACACCTGAAGACTATCTCAACCAGGATCAATCAGACCATCGCCATGCTGCACAGACTGCCAAAGTTTGAGAAGAAGATTAAGGAGATCATTGGTACGTCAATAAATATGTCAATTAACTTAGCCTTGTGCACTTTTTTTTAATAAGTGATAAATTACTTAATCGGAGCCTGGTGTTGTTTAAGCTACAGCAATTTCCGATCGTGTAAGTGGTATGATTTTACAGTGCACTCTGATTGGTTGTTAGTAAAACTGTAAAATGATTGGTTCATTTTGAGTATTTTTCTAGTAATTTTGAGCCATAATTGTCAAAAGCTGGCTATAGACCTGTTGACCTTAGTCAGAGTGCAGTACATTAGCTGATGGCTCAGGGTATAATATCACTAATGGACTTTTGCGTCTTGTAATATCTCTATCGACTCGAGATTATGTTGGATGATAGCCTGTAATTGAAAATGAGAATGTTCTTACCGACATTTTCTCATATTACAAATATTAAACTGTGGGACATTTCTGCGAGCTTCAGAAGAACATGGTTAAACAATCAATGTATAAATTATTTAAGAAAATCTATTGTTTTAAGTGAAATCCATGCATAATTCTTTTATTATCCATTCTTCATTTCAAAACATGCCTTTATCATACAATTCTTCACATGAATGCTTATGAGATAAAAAAAGATTTGTAGAATTCCCCATCTTTACTCTCAATTTCAAATACTGTGCAACAATGCAAATTTTCATGTTAAAGTCATATCTGTTTATATATCAGGGGGTTTCACTAGAATTTCTCACAACAGGCTAGATAAATGAAAACAATATGTAAAATTGGAAATCATAAATTCAACATGGAAAAGTTGAAAAGTCCCTAAAAACAACAGGTGGTTAGGTGAAAATCGCATGTTGCCTGCTGCAAATGAAATCCCTGTATATAGTCTTAAGTCTGCCATCAAAACAGATAAAATGTTATTGAAACAAACAGACTACGACAAATGCAGCAGAGTCCTATCAGATATAAAACATGTCTGCTTGTGTTGTAGCTGACTACATGGAAGATTTCGAGGATATTGACAAGAGCATTGAAAAGGTGTTCTCCAAGGCTACATTCTCTGAAGAGAAGGAAGCTGTAAAGACATACAAGGAAGACCTTGGCAAAGACTACAACAAGATCATGCCTGATACTAAGAAAGGTACTGTTGCATTCGACCAATGCCAGTCATATTTTTATTCATTTCTCTCTATTTATTGCTTCTAATGTATATGTTAACAATAACATGTGTGTGCACACAATACTTCTATTCAGAAAATAAGATTCAGTTGTTAAAGAAAAACTATTCAGAAAATAAGATTCAGTTGTTAAAGAAAAACAATTGATAATGTAAATGTTTCCTTTCATATTTGCAAACACTGTGTGATATATGATATTTTGTTGTGTACATAAGCTGATGTAAAATTCTCAAACTAAAAGAGATTGTCACCTATCTGTGTCATTATTTAATTAAAAAACAGCATGGTTGAAATTCACATGCTAATATATACATACTACGAGTACATTGATGAAGTTAAGCGTAAATAGTCGTGTTATTTGCTGACATGATTGTGTTACAGAGCAAAAGAGACCCATTGTGAAACCCAAGAAGCAGAGCAATGAGATTCCTAAACCAATGAAAATTGATGATGGTGGCCTTGAACCCAAGATCACAGAGGTCAAACCAGTGAAAATCAAGAAGGTGAAGCAAGTTAAGGTGAGATACAATTTTGTTACATTTAAACAAATGTTTTGATGGATTTTGTAATTAAATTAAATGCATTCATATACAATGTAATGTTCATAAGAATGATTATATCATTAGGTAATCACAAAATAAGTCTTGATTTAATTATTTTGATTCTCATAAATCTTCCTATAGTTGTTCTCTCAGAGGCCAAAATCATGAGACTTGCGTTCATTGTCACGTGATAAATAAGCAAAACCAGCGAATGACCTATAAGAGTCTAAAAGATTTATATTTTTGGTGTCTCCTTAGTGAGACATTGGGTCACTGCTGACTTGGTGCAAGTTACAGATCATAATGAATAAAAAACATTTTGGTGTAATCAAAGATCAAAATTATAGGTAGATACTGTATGCCCCTTAAGTGAGCATCAATATACTTGATATAAACTTTATTTTCTGTAAATATCTGAAAAGCTTGAAAAACTGCATTGTAAGTACTGCTTTTGTTGTAGATCATTGATGACGAAACTGAAGAGAATGAACATGCTTATATTGACCTAAAGCCAAAGGTCATGCATGCAAAGGAGGATCATGTGGCCCATCAGGGTCAGGATGCTATTGCTCTACAACAACAGGTAAGCCAGCAAAGGAGGTATATTCCCAGGTCTGTAGGGACAATACCTGGTTGCGTGTGTGTTCAGGCTTTTTTATCCTCAAGAGAATCTTGGAATTGAATTTGGATATGGCCCAGGTTTTTTAACAGTTATTTTATCCAGCCTTGTGGGGAGATAAATGTTATACACCTTGTTGCATGAGAGCATAGAATTGTAACTTGTGTGCACCTTGAGTTTCATTAATGATCTGCTTTTGAAAATGCACCAGAATGTTATTACCGGTTATTACCGAATACCAGATCATAAGATCATATAATCTTAAGGCATGTAATTACTGTGAACCACGTTTCTTTTCCTCCGTTTCCAGTTTTTTCTCTCTTATATTGGTTGCCCATTGGTAGTAGTTGTGCATCATTTTTGCTTATTTTTCCTTGTATTTTCATTTTGTGTTGTTTCATTTGTTTGTTCGTTCGTTCGTTTTTTAACATCGGTTTTATTTATTGAGTTATTTTTCGAGTTGCTGGTGTAGAACCTTGTTGCTTGTCACACATAACTTACTCGTCTACCTGTAATTCTGTACATCCAGCTTTAGTGCCTATATATATATATATATATCTACATGATTTTTAAGCTTTAGAATTTTATGGGCATGGATGATATATAATAAACATCATTAATATTAAATTGCATGCAATCCAGTGGAAATTGTCCTTGCACTTTTGTTAATTACAGTTACTAATTCAAAACTGTGTAATTTACTTAAACTAATTAAGGAACTCTACCAGCCATACTAACCATTAATCATTCTATCTTCTTTAACAATCTGCCAAATATTGTATGCCACTTTATAAACATGCTTCTTACTTTTACAAAGCTATCCTATCTCTTAATATGTTAAACATAATCAATCATTCAACCATCTTGATTTATCAGCAAAATGCAAATTTTAAGACATATTTCACATGTTATTGTACCAACGTTCACGGATACTATCCAGATCTATCCTGCATGTCAGTGGTATTATTAGAGGCCTCGCTCGCTACCCCGGGTCCGCTTTTGGAACTGTCGCAACTTATGATTTGGCCACAAGTCAATGTTTTTTTAAAATGTAGGCAATAGTTTTCTTGGAACCATAAGATAATCGCATCAAAAATGAGAAGATGTGAAACATGAAGATTGGGATCGGGGAACGGGTTGGGGATGAGATGGGATGGAAAATTACATGAATTAAAGAAAATGAAAAGGAGGGAATGAGGCCTAATACCTCCGTAAGGAGATAGGGGAAACTTAATAAATGGCAGGGGCTAGCATTAACTGAGGGGCACCCTTTAGGAAATATTGGGTACTGATGAAATGGCTGCGTAATGGTGGCATCACTCAGCCTCACCTAAACCAAACAACCAACCATTACAAGCTCACATAATAAATAGATCTGAATGGAAGCTGTGAATGTTTCTTGAATGAAAGCTGGAATCAAGATGGGAATAAACTTGTATATGACATACTAATAATACAACATCATCCTGATTCTGTACTTTACTGTTTTATGAGTTAACTGTTTCATGCCTCATTTCTCTTCTGTATAGTCTTGGATACCTTTCAATCCCATACCAGGGGTAAGGTTGCCCTACAGTGAAAGTTTGTAGTGGTCACACAACCAGAATGTTTAATCAAAATTATTCCAAAAGGCTATTTTAGAAAATGAAAAATAATTTGCTTAAATTTTGAAATTGGGGTTTCGATCCTGAAATTGGATCATTCCTTAAAAATTCATATTTGTTTTCATTGCTATTTCTAGCTTTCTGTTAAGATATTTGAATAATTATCTTATCAAGTGACCACTACATGCTACTTTGTAGGCATCTGTGTCTTGAGTCTGTGCAGAATCTGTTCCTTTATATATTGTACACAGTTCGATGTGTACCCCCTCCCTCCCATACCACCTCCTAATTCCCCCCTGTGTTGTCACCAAACCACCCAATCCAGCATCGTGTCATAAATTGTCTTGTTTTTTTATTCTCATAAATTATGGTTCCATCTTCAAGTAGTTGATAGGCAATGGATCATTCGATCATCATTAGGGATCTAAATACAGATCCAGAATGATTTTCTATCAAATCCCAAAATATCATTGAACAACGGGCCCGTAGCCAGCTTTTATCAAGGGGGATTCGGTTTTTGAAATATTCCAGGGTTCAACTTTGACAATTTTGGAAGTGCTCAATATGGTGAAAAACTGCCTGAATTTGGCTACTGGCCTGAACCAGTCAGTTATATCCCTGCCATTAGAAGTTATTTAAGATGGTAATCATAAAATATGTGCAGTTACAAATAAATGTGTGTTAAGATTGAAATCTTTCATAAATTTTTATGACAAGATATCAATTTGTTCCCCAAACAACTTTGCATAATGTAAAAGAACTTTGTCCTGTTTTAATGTTTGATGGATTTTGTGCCCCTCTTTGGTGATCTTGTACTGAATGTTACAATACCGTTCAGTTCAGTTAAATTACTATGTCATTATGTGATTATTGTTTGAAGAAAATACAAGTTCAATGTATTATAGAGTTACAACTAGAGAGACCTTCATGCTAAAGTAATGTTTAACTAAATAGATTCAATTGTTATATGGAATACTCTTTACTTATTTGTCAATCAGAAGTAAACAATTCACCCAGTTGACCTTGGAACAATGACATGATTGAATTAACCAAAGGTGAACTGTGACAACATGAAACTAGTTTTTTTAATTTTTCAGTCAATATCGAAGTGGAAGTGTATTGTTTTCCCTGTTGACCTTTGGACAGGTCAACAATTTCATGATGTGTATTATCCAAACTGGACTTGCATAATCAATCTTTCAGCGTAACCTTCACTTTCACATCTAAGTTAATGATCATTTTCTGTTCAGCTTTATTGATTCAAACTTTTATTCATTTCAATATATTTTAAAATCTTATGATTATGTTTCCAGGATAGTATCCATATTCAACCAGTCACTGGTGTTGGAGCTGCACAACAAGCTAGCACTCTGGGTATCGCCATTGGTTGTGTCACAGTCTTCGTTGTGATTGTCGTTGCTGTGGTACTTCTCCGTAAGAAGTCCCGTCGTGTCCCCATCCACCATGACTTTGTTGATGAGGCCCAATCTCCCGAGGAACGTCATGTTGCCAACATGCAGATCAATGGCTATGAGAACCCAACATATACATATTTCGAAACATCAACCTAGGTCCAGAGACACAATAAAAACATTCTAATTGAAGAACTTGAAAAAAACACTGTGGTATGCATTTAATGGATGCTACTGGGTGTAAACTGATATTCCATAACTTAGACAGTGCAGCCTTGCACTACAGACCACACCATATGTCAAACTCTTCAATTTTCAATCATGGGCCCTCTTGAGTTAGTGCTGTTTACATAAGGCCTATTTGAGTAATTTAAATAAGGCCTATTTGAGTAATTTACATAAGGCCTATTTGAGTAATCTCTTGAATGCCCATGATATAATCATAATTACTATTACTGGAGGCCATTTCTTGACATTTGAATAAAGTGCAAGATTTGCTCACTGGTCCTTTAATATCACCATTATATAAAAAATGCTTGTTGATATTTGTGTATGCTTTCTAGAAAGTATGTACCGTAGTAACATATGAACATACTACAGTCATAAACATCTAATGCATGGTATAGTCATGAACATGTTTTATGTAATATTGGAGTCAAGAACATGTATTTCTCAACAGCACGTGTTCAAGTACATGTTTAGTGCAGTACAACAGATTTATGATTATGTTTTAGTATGTACTACAAATTCATGTTTTATATAAACTACAGATTCGTGAATATGGATGTCGGTGAATATCATTTTCATCCTGACATCATGACATCTGGCCTGACACTTACAACATTTGTACAGATCATATATTATAATTAAATGTATTGGCTCCAGAAGGAATGCTGTATTTAAAAAGGAATGAATCATGTTCGAAGAAAAAATTTGTCAAAGTGACGATGTCACATTGGGTTGCTAGAAGACAGAAATGTATGATATAGACTGAAGATTTACGGAGAAAGATTTGCTGTATAAAATTGAGCCATTTTGAATTTTGTAATTGCTTATGTGTAATATATTCAGTGTATGGTTATATATATTGTATCTAGTCTGTGTAGACAATAGTGTTGAATCATGTTCTAACAGCAATGTAACCACATATATGTGACCTATAGGAGTCTACATATATGTACTAAAAATAGGATAAAATAGAAAAAATAAACTCTTGTCTAACACTACCGATGTAAAGATTGTCTAAATACAAGTATATGGACAAATATTTCAGTGTTAAATTACGTGAATGGCCAAAACTTACAAGAAAAATGGACAGATGGCTCTGTAGATTTGATATCAAAATGGTAGCATGCTTTCAAATAGTCTGCATAATCACTACTAATGCCGATAAATAGCCTAAAATGATTAGAACACACAGCATTGGGCTGACAGAACAGCATGTAACAATAGAAATTTACAGCATAGGCAGTGCAGCAAAAGATATTGATTTAATTGCCATCAATCTAAATTAGATACTCTGTAAAATTTCTGAAATAACATTAATCTGCTATAATATATAATTGAGCTTTGAATAACCTGACATTTTAAAATCACCAATGTATATTCCTTTAGTATTTAGATGTAGATTTTCGTCTGCTCACAAAAATGCATTATGGGATACCTAGAGTGATACATCGTTTCCCATGATGCTTTGTGAGATATAGTTGTAGAAATCTTACCTGCACATTTAGAGACCCCTTAAATGAGAGGCTTACAAGTAAGCATGATTGGACAATTGGAATGATTTTAGAATGAGTCATGGGGTCTTTGTAAATAGACATGCACTATAATAATATACTCTTTTTGCACCAACGAAGGTCATTGAATGGTTCTCGGTAAAGACCATTGTAATGTGTATAGTACAAGAAATAAATATTTGTATTTTATTTTAATTTAGAAAATACTTTTAAAAAGAACAATTTGAGGTTTCAAGGCATTCTTTCGACTCAATCCATAAAAATTCAAAATTCGGGTACACAGGTATTTTCTACATTTGGCTTCTTGGAATCGTCTTGAAAACTGAAAACCTATTTATCGGCCAATATAAATGGATTTCAAATGGGTTTTGTTTAGTATATACATGGAATGCATTTGATGAAATAAAATCTTACTGTAAATTCACTTAACATCGAAATTGAAAATTATTTAACACTGAAGATGCTTTTAATTGTATAAAAATGTATTTTATTTATCTTAATATGTGTATTTACATGGTAAAGTCGATATACTGTACCCTAACACCATCAGTATAAATAAAATTATTCTGTTCAAAAATACATGTTTTGTCTGCTTTAATGATGTTCTGATAGTATAAACCAGGCATTAACATGCATTAATATGCAACCACAAGAAAGTTGGAGACTAAATGATATATTACTAGTGCCTGCAAGGAGAGTGAGTGTTAACAGTACATGTATTGTAAAATGGCAAGCAGTGCTTCACGTCTACAAAATACACCAAAATGGAAAAAATCATAGAAACCTTGAACAAATTGATGACGTGAGTGAACTAATTGCTTCTCGGAAAATGCACATTGCAAATAAATTACCTTGAGTGAGCATTTTCAAGCCTTGGTATTTTAAGTAACTATAAATACATGATGCATGCATGACCATCAGCATAGGACAGACAGTATAGTACTTTGAATTAAGCCTGTATCCGCTCTTTGTTGGTGCATATTACAGGCTATTACAAATTAATGAAACAGACATCTTCAATTAGATGCTTTTACAAGTATGAACACTGGGGTATGGTGTCCAGTTATCAACAGTTCTGGAATAACGAAGATTCTTTCATGAGGGGGAGGGGGTAAATAATGGTGGTGTCCAGTTATCAACAGTTCTGGAATAATTATTCTTTCCTTAGGGGGAGGGGGTAAATAATGGTATCATTCCCGAGTAGTGTTGATTATTTTTGATATTCAGATCAAGTGAAAGGCAAATCAACAGTCAAACCATGATGAAATTAACTCCATTTTCCACCATTGTTGATAACTGGACACCATCCCTTATATAGAACAATGCAGAAAAGTATTATATTACATCAAACATGTCAAGGTATGGCCCCGATCTCAATAGTAAATTAAAAGGGGAAGCAACATAACCTTTTCTTCATCCTAGATATTAATTGAACATCTCAAGTCAAATATTAATATCTAATCTCCGCCATGCAGACATATAAATCTAAGTGGGATGATATGTTTCAGAGCAGTGCTAATCTCATCTTGAAGAGCACAAAGGAACAACTCTGTCTGATGAGCAACATGTTTATTAATATAGTATTACAGTACAGTGAAGTATTACAATCTGTCAATGTAGAGCACTGATAGAATAAGATATTACATTGCTTCACTTAACTCTGAACAAAAGAAAAGCAAATTGCTATTGAAGGATACAAGGAAATTCATTCCCTTCAAGAGGAAAGTGGACAAGAAAGCTTCCTGGTCATCTCAACCCAAAGTCAACTCAACCCAGTAAAACTCAACCCCAAGTCAAGTCAACCCCAAGTCAACTCAACCCCTGTAAAACTCAATCCCTACATATTTTAGTACTTACAAGTTTGTATGCCATATGATATGAACGTTTGTTGAATAAAAAAGTTTTGATAATTATTGACTTCCCGTCGAAGAACTGCCATATAGTTAATAATGAGCACACTCTCCAAAGCTCCAAACTGTCAACATGGTCCTACTAGGATTAATATGTGGGACTAATAGGATAACAGCAACTGCAAAACGCTGAAGGATTAGCAAGCATTTATTACAGGGAATTTAGATTGATTTAATCAAATTTCAAATGTCATTTTATTTTAATTTTGAATCTTGTAAATAAGTTTGTTTTCTTTCAGGTTGACACTATTGATCATGAATAATTTCGTTAATACATTAACATTGTTAAAAAACATTGTTAATTGCCAAAATTTTCCTAAAGCTTGATTTTAAAAGATATTTGACTGCCTGTTAAATATTTGAACAAAGTATCATTTAAAATAATGCAAAAAGCTAGATTATTAAAGTAAATGAACTAGAAAAATAAAAACATTGCAGAAATGAATGGGATTGAGTTTTACTGGGGTTGAGTTGATTTGGGGTTGAGTTTTACTAGGGTTGAGTTGACTTGGGGTTGAGATGACCTGTCACCGACAAGAAGAGGCCATGATTCACTGACAGTAATAAGTCCCCATCTAGGATCTCCAACTGACTGAACTTGAAGGAATTTGTGGTCACTATTGATACTGTCAGTATACCTTTTGATGGGGAGACTAATGGCTAAATACATTATGTATCTATTATAACTCAAATCAACTTGCCATAAAAAATCAGTTAAATCATCTACCATTATTCAGCCATACCCCACCAAATATGAAATAAACAGTTCACCTGTATTTCAGTTTTTGCTTGGACAAACAGACATGTGGCAAGATGGATAAATACTTAAATAGGATACACACAAATCAAATACACAATTGTACAATTAAAACTAAATTCCACTCCAACATGATACAAAAAAATCATAAACCAAATGTGTTTCAAAATCAGACAAGAACATTGATAAATTCCAACAATATATTTGACATCACACCAAATAACTGAGAAATTTCCAAAATGCAAATAAGTCACTTTTTTAATTCTCTACTAAAAGTCAAAAATTATGACATGGTAATACTGTATGATATAAATAGCTCCAAATATTTCACTCTGCACTACATATCTCCTTGAGATGTAGAGAGACTTATATTAAAACAAGGCATTGTATCTTATCACATTTGTTCTTGAATTATGCAGTGCGACATAAGCTCTGCTTCATTCAATTACTGAACATCTCAAGAGAGTGATCTGATTTCATCATTATATATTAATGTAATATATGTTCTGCCTAAATACCCAATCAATAGGCGAAGGTTTAATAAATAAATTGAATACCATGACTGGTCTATCACTCAGTTTTGACCATAGATCTGATACATTCACATCACACCATTGTTCAGATGTTCATATCACACCATTGTTCACATGTCCATATCCTTTTAACACTGCTATTAAGTGTATTGCATTTGAACTTCGTTGTTCTCATCAAGCACTAGCCTTGGGCGAGGCACAGACGGTGTCCCTGATCCAGTACTTGATTGTCTCTGGCTCACTGGGCCCCCATGCCCCAGATCTCTTTGTTCAAACCTCCTGAGCCATGCCTTGGTGTCGGAGAGCTGGTCTTGAGCACTCGTGGTGATAGATGTGGGTGGTGGCACACTTGAGGACTGTAAGTTAGACCTGATTTGCTCCCTAAATTAATAAAAAAACGAAATATGAATAAAATTCCCAATCATTCAACAATTTCAAAATGGTTTCATTGTATGTGTCTAACTTACAGGTTTTAATATTTATGACCATACTTTTTATGCCTCATATATTTCTGTTTATATTGAAAATCATTTAATGTGAAAATGTTCTTAACGTTTCGTGTGTATATAGCATATTAAGACAGTACATGGCTTCTATACATATGTCAGACTGACCTTGCAGAGATATGACCAAAGGAAAGAGTTGATGATGGGAAACTAGGTCCACTAGATGGCAGTTGAGTTCTCCGATCTGAAACAGACAAACAAACAATATTACCTCAGTCTACGATTGAATTATTCACACTGAGGTTAAAAATGAAACTATAAAGATTACAAGGGTATTACAATTACAAGATATTTTCAGATCAATGGTGTTTTATATTTTTTGTTGATACACTGTATATCACTTTTATGTTCTTGAATCAGATGGTATTCAACAAAATATTCTGGAGACTTAAGATGAATAGATTTTTTTTTCACTGACAGACTATTAGTATTTTTATTGGTTCTTAGAAAAACAGACTTAATAAATTGCTGATGTTGCATAAACAGGTAGTATACAAAAGTTCTATAAACAGGTTGTAATAAAAGTTTAATAAACAGGTTGTACTTATACCTAAGTTGTATTTTCTCCACTTTCTCTCCAAGGCCTGCTCTGCTGTCTCAAATGATGGACGGCTGAAGTCAATTCTAGTTTGAGGTTCAGATCTGAATATATGACAAACATGACAGACTAACGGTAATAGAACATCACAAGCATAAAAGACAAATCAGTAGATAGGATAATTATCCCTCAATAATCATGTCATTTTACTTTGCTTATATTGTGATAATAATAGAAAATTACAAATATCTGAAAACTATAATCAATCCTTTGAGTCCTTTGTGTTCAGTTCAGTATTTTATGCATTACTGATTAAATTATCAAAAAATATTAATTATTGTAAATGTACATGGAAATACACTTACATGTACGGGTTAGAAGGTCCCCAGGCTACATAAGGTACCCTTGGTTCCGGCACTACCCCAGAGGCCATGGATGATGCATAGACAGGCAGGGGGCCAGGGGGAAGACCTGAGTGTCCAGCTTGGGGGTAGAAGTATCCATTTGAGGGGGGTGGAGGAGCTGCCACAGGGGTACTATGCGGGAATATAGGGGGTGCTGCAGTAGATCGAGTGTCGAGACGCTCCAGAACCTGCTGAAGGTTTCTATTGATCTCTCCAAGCTCTGTGGTAAAGGCACTTTTTGGAAGTTTGCTGCTCTTCATAGTTGATTTATTCACCCCTGGAGTTTTGTTTAAACCTGGATTAAAGCAAAATGGCAGTTACACTTAAATCTGTGCTCAATAAAGAAGGTTTTGTCATTCTGCTAAGGTGAGTTGATCTAAAATTAACTGAGCCAAATTATAAATCTCTTGGTCAATACAAATATTATAAAGTACGAAAATGTAATTAAATTATATGGTATTAACATGACAAAATGTCACCACTTGGTTGTGTTGGGTAAATCATAAAAATGTAACAATTTGTTACGGATATTGTACAACAATGCTGAACAGTTACAAAACAATGGTGACTATAACAATATGTCACCACTTCTTGGTTATGAAATAAATCTGATTTGAACATTGAGGATTCTAGATTACCTTTCAAGATGTCATCAATGTTGAGATCTGTGCTGCTTATGCCACTGCTGCCGTCAGAATCACTGAGGTCAAGAGTAGGGAGGGGGTTAGGCTTGTAGGACTTACGGAAGTCCATGAGGCCAAGCGTGGACTCGGAATCACTCGACTGAAACACAATTACATCATTCAACATCATCACATTTAGGAGGGTAAGGCTCGGCCTGTTTAATCCTCCCATCAGAATAATTGTGATATTTCAAGACTTTTGTATTGTACAAATGTGTATTGTATATATTAATGTATGGGCTTTTTGGATCTAAGTTTTTTTTCAGGGTAACCATTTTTACACAGGTGTATGTATATAGGATTAGTAAATGCTCTAAAAAAATAACACAAATTTTACACTGAAACTGTAACATCAACATGTGCACTTACAACATCAATTACGCTGGCTTCAAGTTCTTTCAACTTAAGTTCTTTCTCCCTGAGCAGTCTGGTTCCTGAGGATACATTTGCTTTCATGTGTCCCAGCTCTTGTTTCTCTCTGTCCAGTTGGTGACGCACATTGCCAAGGATTTGGGTTGACTGGGGAGATAGGTTCTATAATGAATACAGTATGCTGAGCTTTTCATTCTCATTCATTCACTGTGCTACAGAAGTCAGTTTAAAGCTAGAAATTCTGATTTCAATAGTTTTTGTAACTTGTATATTACTAAAAAGAGAAATACATGTAATAAGTTTTTTGAGAAACAATGCAAACAAGATTCTTACATGACTAAGGCTATCACTTTTATATTGTTGATTTCTGGCCTCAAGCTGTGCCCTCTTCTGCCTGTACTCCCTCTGACGTCTGCGTAAGAATGTCTTGGCATTAACTATGGCATCATGCTCCATGGCTATGTGTCGATCAATGTCTCTGAAAACAGTAGAAAGTAGGTATGCAGGATTGATATCAAGATAAATCAGCATATAAAATCTTAAGCTAAAGAACAAGTTGTTATAAGATAAGTATTGAAATATTGGTTGCACCTAGTCTGTTAGCCTTGCCCAAGTTGGTATTTTTTACTTATCTGATCTTTAATTATTACCGCCTTGTACAATCCAATGCATCATCACTAAACTCTGATTGATATTTATCTGATAAAATATTTGTATTTACATGATGAATTGTGCAAGATTTGCAGGATGATTTGTTCGTGAAAAGTGTACTTGTCTTGACCGTGCATAATAATGTGCTAACGCTGCAGGGCAGTCATTGATTGGTCAAATTTACCGACAAAAACATTGAGTCGGTTAAGCAGGTGGCTTTCTCATTGGTACAAGGCGGTCATAATAGAAATCAAGATAAGTAAAAGAGACCGACTTGGGCAAGGCTACTAGTCTGTCAGTTTATGTAATACTTTGTGAAAATCTCTCTAATGACTTGTAAAGTTACCTTCTGTCTGGCCTTCTTCGTGACCTCTTCACATCTAATATCTCTGCTGTAAGACTTGACTCATCCATATCATCATACTTAAAGTGGTTAGACTTTCTCCTGGGAGTGCTAGATGTTGATTTGTGGTCAAGCACTCTATGGTGATGTACTTGGGGGTAATCGCCTGAATCAGAATCTGAAAGTCAAAAATTTGTGGTTTCATAAACTATAATGCTAGGATGATTTATTTTATATCTGCAGAACATTGACGATAATGCTGAACAGCAAAAGGCATTATTTATCTATCCACCATATGGTGTAGATATGCAGTTCGTATCATGAGGAATTCAATGTTCTGGATTTCTTACCACTGTTATCAATGGTAGAATGATTCCACATGCAGAATTCATGAAATAAGAAGCTGACCATTTGTTCTGTATTGCAGCTAACTTTAAACTTAATCAGCGTTACAAAATATATCAATAACTTTAGAAAAAGTTACTCACAATGGATATATGTATTTTTAATACTAACCTTCTGAGGAATTAGTTGAGTAAGAAACACCATTTGAAGCCCCTTTAACCCATTTTATATCCTTCTTTGTTCTTCTACCATTATGCCTTCTATTTTCTTTGTCATTTACATCATCCTCAAACTCACTGTCCGTATCCATCCTTTTATCACTTGTCTCAGTTCGAGTTCTATGTTTTTCTGATTTTTGTTTTGTGTTTTCTGTTCTATGTTGATGTTTTTTAGATCTAGACTTTGTTTTATTTTCAATCACAGGTGTAAGATCCAAATCTTCACCCGACATCTGATTGGTCAAATCATCAACATTTAACTTATCAGGGGTCTCCAAATTGTGATTCAAGGGCACTTGGTGATTTGTTAGAGTGTCATCCCTGTTTGGTTTTGATTGTTGAGCTTTCAATGTTTCTTCATTCTGTTTTAGTTGTTTTATTGTGTCCTTCATTTCACTGGAAAATATATCAACAATTAGAGAATGAGTAATTACGGAATTTTCAGAAACCTTACGAAGAAAACAAACCATTTAGTATTGCATTTAAATCAAAAGCAAATTTTGGATTTAATCACCTGATTTGTCTTTGGTAGGTGTCCATGTCTCTCTTCATTGAGTCCAGTTCTGATTCTAAGTCGACTCTCTGGTGTTTCAACACCTCTAATCCTTGCTTCTCTGCCTTCACTTTGCTCCTCATCTCCTTTAGTTGTTCCTGCTCCTGTCTCCCAAGGTTCGCTGCCTTATTTGCATACGCCTCCTGGTGAAATAAAGGTATGTTTTTTACATGTAGCCTATGCATGTAGCCTATTCATTCATTAATACATTGTATATTAACAGGACCATACACTACACAGTCATGAATGGTGAAACGTCACCAATTGTGAATCTTCAAAAGTCACAAAACGCAAAACCACACAAAAATTTGATATTCATTTTTACATTCAGAGCACAATCATTTTTATCCAGATTTTCAAATGTCGAGGCGAGCAGAGGGAGGGTAAATAATTAATGTAACATCATCATCATATCTAGTTGCATAAGAGGGGGGATTCACAACTAATGTAATATCTTACCTCCTGGTCATTTTGTAATTGTTCCTTTTCTTCTTCAAATCTCAACCTTCTTTCACGTAATTCTTTTTCTTCCTGAGCAAGTTCTTCTTGGTTCATCTTGAGTTTCTTTTTGTTAGCTTCTAGTAAGTCTTGTTTAGATTTCAGCTTATGCTCCTGGAAAAATTAGTACTTTCAACAATAGGTACTTTGAATGCTGTCTTTCTACACAGGTCCAATTAAGAACTGCTCCATGACATCAAACCTACATGCATGTTCAATACTACACTAATATATTTTGTGACAAGAAAGCCCACTTGCAGTAGATACACAAGAAAGCTAACATATACAATTGTTCAATGACAAAAACAAGAAAAGTCATTGGGGTCGAGTTGACTAAGGGCTGAGTTGACCAAGGGTTGAGATGACTTGGGGTCGAGTTGACTAAGGGTTGAGATGACTTGGGGTTGACTTGACTTGGGGTCGAGTTGACTAGGGGTTGAGATGACTTGGGGTCGAGTTGATTTGGGGTTGAGGTGACTAAGGGTTGAGATGACTTGGGGTCGAGTTGACTTGGGGTCGAGGTGACTAAGGGTTGAGATGACTTGGGGTTGACTTGACTTGGGGTCGAGTTGACTAGGGATTGAGATGACTTGGGGTCGAGTTGATTTGGGGTTGAGGTGACTAAGGGTTGAGATGACTTGGGGTCGAGTTGACTTGGGGTCGAGGTGACTAAGGGTTGAGTTGACTTGTGGTGAGTTCAGTTGACTTGGGGTCAAGTTGACTAAGGCTTGAGTTGACTTGTGTTGAGCTGAATTGGGGTTGAGTTGACCAGGAAGCTACCAGTGGTACATACAAGAAAAGGATTTAACTTGCCTCTCCTGCAATCTCCTGCTGGAGTTTCTCCCTCTGTTCCTTTTGCTTCTCTTGGAGTTCCTCTATGGTCTCCTGGTGTTCCTCAGTCAATTGTTTCATAGCTGCTGAATGTTGATCTCCCAAAGACAACTTTTCCTTTCTTTCCTGTATAACCATATAAAATACGACATATCAAATATATCATCAGGGAATGTCAATGGTACATTTCTACATTCAAAAATCAAAAGTCAGTTGGAGAATATTATATTCATATATATCATAAAACTTTGATTTGTTTTGGAAAAAAGTGGAATTTAGACATAAATACCTTCTCTTTGTATTCATCTTTCATTTTACGGATGTTTTTCTGATTCTCTTCCCTCAAGGAATCTAGAGCTTTCTGATGCTCAGCTTTCAGTTCTGCTTTTCTTTCATCAAGTGTTTCCTGAAGCTGAAACAAGAAAACAATTGGACTTAAATAATAGAACATAGCATAGTAAGGAATAAATCAGTGGTTAATGGAAATAAAACAATGGAATAACAGATCTTGAAAAATAGAACAATGGACCTAGAATAGAATAATAAGAATGCATGATTAAATAAAGGAATGAGGACATTGACAATTACACTTCAATTAGTTATTTTAATATTCATTGAAGCTGCAACTCACCCCCTTTTCTAGATTATCAACAATGTTCTGGCGGTCTCTTATTGCCTTAATGTCATTTTCTTTTCTTTCTCGCTCAGTCTCTTGGGCTGCCTTTAACTCTGTCTCTAGCTGGTTCATGGCCTGGAGAAAAATTTAATTGATGTAATTATACACAGTTGCCTCTTGGAGGACTTGAATTTGAGACCTGCCATGTGGCAAGGGCTGGAGATCACACAAAATAGATGTCAGCACTGTAACAATAACCAGTTCATTTGATCACACAAAATAGATATCAGCTCTGTAACAGTAAGCCAGTTCATTTAAACTTTTAAAGTAAGGAATTGCTAAAGCCAATTGTTCTCTTAATATGCCTTCATTATACCCATGACTTAAACAATAGATTGAGGAATTATTTACTTTACAAAGTTTCCACTAATGGCCTGAATTTTCTATATAATGACTGAATAAAACTTTTATTTTCCACTTTATACCTTCTCGTGCTGTTCCTGAATATTCTGCTTGCACTTTTCCAAATTCTGAGTATGCTTTTTATTCAACTTTTCTTCCTGCTCTTCAACATCTTCCTCAAATTTCTTCTTCATTTTTTCTAATTGCTCTTCCTTTTCTTCTTCATATCTTTTTCGTTCCTTCTCTGAAGCTTGTTTAATCTAAAACATTAAAATATGTAACATCTGGCTCTGACTCTCCAACGTCCACAATTGCCCAAGGACATTTATTATGCTGAGCCTTCTCATAGGGAACTTATAAAGCAAGGACAATGCAATTCTAATTAGCAAGAGCATGGCTTAAAGCAACCAAATTTCAAATTTTCTGAAAATTTAATGGCGAAAGATGCGGGCCAACCAAGTGGTGAGTTTGGGCGGTCCTTCCCAAGAAATTTTGGGAAAAGAGATTTGATCGGGTGCTTTTTATGAGTAATGTAGACTCATTACATAATACTTTCAAATTTAGATGAAAAAGTATTTTCAAAGGAAAAAATTAAATATGACCTTAATTTAATAACTCTTGCTTGACCACCTACTCCCCCCTCCCCCCCCCCTAGAAATAAACCCAGATTTGTATCGAATTTCAATAGTGTCCGATTTTGGTCCATTTATTCCTGAAATTTCCTGAACATAAGATCAGCTCTTTTTCAAAGATGGACTAGGATAATAGGGGTCGAGTTGACTAAGGGTTGAGTTGACATTGGGTTGAGTTGACCAGTTACTGAAAATAATTGTGATTCTATTTATTAGCTACTTAATTGTGTATCAATTACCAAGTCCCCAAATGAAAATGTAGTTGGATTTTATCAATAAGACAAGTGAGAGCAACTTGTGGAAGTCATTCAATTTATGACATAGAGGGGCTGTTGTATGCGGCTTGCTCTTACCTCTTTTTCAATATTCTCTTTCATTTTCCTTTTCTCTCTATCTAAAGTTTCCTGTTCTTCTTCTTCCAAAGATTCAAGCTCCTTTTTGATCTCATCCAAGGTTTCTTCCATCTCCTTTCTAATGAACAGATATGATAAACATATATTCTCAATGATCGAGTAGCTTTCAAAATGATCCTGATATTTGATGACAGTTATTATCTATATAATATCAAGTATAAATTTTTCTTTATTTTACAACGACATATGAAACTTACTGAATCTTGTTTATCTTCATAAAATTGGAAAGGAAAACCTTGTTTAGAGCCCAATAGCAAATCATTGGGTTGAGTCGAAATATAAATCAAATATGTCATGGCCTTACAATTTTAGATTGGAAAGGGTTATTCTCGGTTGGAGAACAAAGTTCATCACTCTAATTGAGCGTTATCCCTGCATCGGAAATTTTTTATTTTTTACATAATATAGATTTGAATAATCATAATTTAATTTGGGTGATATTTCTAGATTTTTCATTAAAACTTTTAGCGCAGTACACTGATGAACTTCTTTCTCCAAATCGAGATTTGTATTCCATTGAATCGGTCTACTGCACGTTATCCCTGCTTCAGACAATTGTGATGTTTTTACATCTTATAGATTTAAAAGTCCTCTTTTGAATATTCATAATTTAATTTGGGTGATATTTCTATATTTTTCATAATAAAATTATTAGTGAAGGAGACTGTACTCCAAACCGAGACATGTCTTTTATGATACATGTACTAGATCTATATTTGCTGTTACCGTAGTTTTTTCTCTTCAGCCTCCTTCTCCTTTCGTATCTCATCTCGTAGTTTCAGAATGGCATCAGTTTTACCCTCCTTTAACATGGCCTCTTCATCTGCAATGTCCTCTTTGACCTGAAGCCTCAAATCTCTGTAAGAAAAAAAACTCATTATTGGGAAATTGGAATATGATATACATGTACAGGTTATTGGGTAATGGTCTCGGATTAGCTGTGCAAGGAGGTCCTGGAAGGACTTCTTTATCACAGTCCCTGAACATTGCTCATTGGACCATGAAATCAGAAAGAGGAGAAAATCATCAATATAAGTAATAATTAAGGTCAATATGAATGCACAAATTCAATATAGGTAAAGTAAGTTTTAGTTTTAAATGCATTAATCATAAGTATGTTTACCCGAGGAGCCAAATCAAAATATTTTTTCACATAATATTAAAGCCTGGATATATCAGATCAATCTCCTATATATATAACAGATCTTCCCCCTCTACATATCAGATCTTCCTCCTCTACATATCAGATCTTCCTCTTCTACATATCAGATCTTCCTCCTCTACATATCAGATCTTCCTCATCTATATATCAGATCTTCCTCTTCTACATATCAGATCTCCCCCCTCTACATATCAGATCTTCCCCCCTCTACATATCAGATCTTCCTCCTCTACATATTAGATCTTTCTCCTCTATATATCAAATCTTCCTCTTCCATATATCAGATCTTCCATTGTCCCACTCAATCTTTATTCATACCAGCCAAAAATAGTTTCATGACAAAGTATGACCCAGCCCTTAAATATAGACCTTTTTGATAATTATGATATTCCTTACCTAAGATTTGTGTCCTTTTCTTGTCTCAGCTTTTTCTCCTCATCTTCCTCATCCTTTGCTATATCTGCCTTCAACTTCTTGAGTCTCTCTTCTTTTTCCTTAGAAATTTTAATTTAGAAATGTGAAACAGATCATACATGTGTATTTCTGTATACACATTTAACCATTTAAACATTACTTTTACCGCAATAAGAGTATCCCTCTATCCCCATGATGTATTGACCCTTTATGTATTTTTATCACAACTCTGTCCAGCTTGAGAGAATATGATAGAACAACCAGGCCAATATGCTGTAGCCGGTATTGCAGAACAGAAAGACTAAAGACCAAAAATGTTGACATGAATGTAAGACTAAAAAAATACAAGTGTATGACTGAAGGCAGGCCTTGAAACTAATATTTTTTGCTTCTTGATGTCAAAATAGCAACCTGGCCAATTACCAGGTACTGTTTTTTTTGTCAAAACTACAGACTTGTACAACCGATTCCATTAATTAAATGAAATCATAGGTTTAACACAGGAGCTGTACCAAATTAAGCGTGACAGTTGAACACACAGGGTAACGTAAAACATGAGGGTAATGTAATTTGAGCAAACTGGTGTTTTCATAGTTTTAGAAAAATCTGGTTGAGTTTCTAGATATTTTTATATGTAAATGTCTGTAATGATATCCTAAACAGTGAACTTCACAGTGAATTTCATAGTAAAACCTACACAAACTGTGAATATAGGATACGGTATGAAGCGTATTGTACCTTACCCTACATGTTCAACTGTCATGCTTAATTACTCAGATGCGAGAAGGAAGTTACCAGTTTCGCCACCAGGTGGCTGATTCGGGGGAATTAACATGGCAGGGTATTACAAAATTCCCTTAAACTTGAATATGCATCAGTTTTAGTGATTCACTTTTCATATTACCTTTATGTATCTGATAGCTATACAAATTAAAATATGCCTAGTAAAAGAAAATATTATCTGCCCAACATAAGAAAAGATATTTCACTTTTTGTGATTTTACAACATGGGCTCTATGGGGAATCTCCCCAACCTAGAAGTCACATTTTCAAAGAAAATTTAATTTTCAAAGTTGATAAACTCTTTTCGAAACCACATTTCTAGATGTAATTCTACATGTAGATTCCAAATATGACATTTAAAAATATGAATTTTTGATGACGTAAATCAAGATTATTTATACTCGCATCTAGTCTACTGTCATGCTTAATTCGGTACAAACTCTGTGTTTAAGGCTGATATAAAGATGGCAGTAGTGTAATTCATGAGTAATAGTCTCTCTGAAGAGTTGAATGGACTGACATATTTTTATAGCACGGTCTATCACCCTAAACCAATGAAGGTACATGTACAAACCAAAATGCCACGGCCCCCGATCAGTGATCTTCCCAGCATTAAAGCAAGCAAGTGGGCGCAGCACCCACCTGAGATTTTGAAAATAGGCCTGCACCCACCTGAAAATCCACTTGCACCTCTATTGAAATTGAGAAAAATCATGACAAATGGGCATATTTTGACCAATTATGGTCTGGATTGTGAAAATGAGAATTTTGCACCCACTTGAGAAAAAGTCCTGTGGAGATCCTGCCACCATAGTGGCTGTATTGGAGCCACTTCAACAACTTCAAATTAAGGTTATGAAAACCAGTTTTCATTACACTGCAGGCCCGTCAGGTCAGATACTTTTCAAAGGGGGTGAGATCATATGATGTCAGAGATCCAATGAATTTTTGATTACTTGATTTATATTTTTCATCTGAATTAGACAATAGTAAGGTCAATGTAAAACAAGGCATTAACATGCAAAATGTCACCACCTGCCATTTCTTACAAGAGATTTCTGACACCTCCCCCCTCCCAACGCTCTGACAGGCCTGCAATGTACTTGAGTTTCAATAGAATAAATACTGCAGTGTAGTGATATACTGTTAACTCATCATGACTTCGTAGTTTATTATGGAGAAATACTTGATTTGTACACATAACATGTTTATAAGATAATATAACTAGGATAATACAAACAAAACAAAATTGTCTGGTAGCAATGATTAATTAATTTTAATGCAAGTTTCAATCCTGAATAGTACGAGTATGGATCAAAAAACTAATTAAATGTAAAAACATGAATTTGAAATAATTTATGTTTGAGTTGGTATTTTGACTATCACACATATGTTTTGATGCCTTCATTTAAATCTCCTAAAAATGATATTTCATATTAAGCATGCAGTAGAACCTGTATATCTGAACACCTGTCTAATCCGAACACCTTCTAATTTGAACAGTTTTTTTCGGTCCCATTTTTTCCTCTGAACTCCTCCTAATCTGAACAGTGAGCAACCAGATTTGAAAAACTGACCTGTCTAATCTGAACATTTTTATCAGAAATCAAATGTCTGGACATTTCAATAATAGCTACATATTGAGTCAATGCTATAGTTGTTATTTATCTTTAGATATACAATGTAATCAAAGAACCAATATTGTCCTAATTAACTTATTATTGAATGCCCTTGATATTTTGATTGAAAACTGACCGGGAGTAATTCTCTTCAAATTATTTACTCATCATGAACAGAAATTTAAAGCAGATATGAAATGGTATTTTTAACCTAAAGGAATCAATATAATTTTTTGATAAATGTATTTGGACATGTTTTCTCATCATTAGTGTGAAAATTATTTCAATCTAACAATCGTTAAAGCTGCTTAATAAGCAATATTCGAATTGGTTGTGACGTTATTGGCCCCCACGTGATCTCTCACTGGCCCCCATGTGGCCCGTTTTGGTCCATTAGATCATGACGTCATAATGCCGAAATGTTTTGTAATTTGTTTACACAACAATCCTATGGTTGCCGTGACGTTGTGATTACTAAGAAACCAATAAACCAAAGCTTTTGTATTTGACGTTACTAATCACGTGGGGGCCAATTTGATTGATCAGTTAGTTTTATTTCGTTATCTATGACCGTTAGCAGTTATCTAACATTTATTTTATAATGGCTAACAAAGAACTCTACGTTGGGCTTACAATGGAGAAAACCGCATTTTTTTAGCTGCAATTTGAGAAAAGCTATTTCAGTTGTCCTTTAATACTTAAATCGCTTATAAGGCGTAAATAAATGTCAATTTGACGTTCAATAAAAATCTGTCAATAATTTACTGATTACTTGAACATTTGAAGAGGTAAAACTTACAGCAATCAATTGAGGATTTACATGTAAACTCAATTGCATTTGTTTTTCGCGGGAAAAAGTTTCTCTCATTGACGTCACAGATTTTTAAGCAGCCATTATAATATTCATGAGCTGACTTTGTGGAAAGGTTAATAGGTCTATTGTAGAATAAACTCATCAACAACATGTATTGTTTTCTGACTTAACAATACCAACAATATCCTCGAAATTTGAACACCTGCCAATTTGAACGCTTTTGGCTGGTCCCATGGGTGTTCGGATTAGACAGGTTAACTGTAGTACATTTGTGCCTTTTCAGTTATTTTGTATTGGATTGCAATTGGCTTCAAACAAAATTTAGGAAAAAGTATTAGTTCGCTCCCCATTGCACACGCTTGTTGATTTGTTCTGATTTTAAGCAGCTTTGAAATAAATAATAAATTTTCTGAAATCTTGCAATATCCTAGTACTAGTAAAATGACAAGCTCTGGCACCTTACCATTCCACTGACATCTGGTTTGAACATATGAAGATTTGTGATATTTAGAACATTGGCATGATAATAATTGATAAGGAATCATGGTCAATGAGGCAAAAACTGAAAATCATAAGACAAAGTAAAGTTCAACATGTAGAGCAATGCAGTGAGAGGTTTTAACAGGCATTTGGACGAACATTAACACAATAAATCAAAATATGACATGTTGAATCTTGACAGACTTGACCCTAAAATCCCTAAGGCCTCATGTTTCTGATGTCAATCAATAAGACAAATTAATATAGTATAACATGTATTATATGTCCTACTGAAAGTATTGCAATACTTACAAATACAGTAGCTTTTAGTTGTATGATCATTGATTTTGAGTAATTTTTAGCCTGAGAAACAGGTATCTAGATGGCAAAGTTTATAGTAAAAAGTGTACAGTTAAACCTGGCTCATCAAAATCCTATTGGGACTGGTCAAAACCTGTCTGATACGAATGCCACTTTGCCTGGTCAAAAATGCCTGAATTAGCAAGTGTGCACATTACGCAAATTTTTTTTTTATTATGTGAATCAATGAGATAGCAAAATTGAGATTAAGAAAAGGTGTCCACATTCAGAAATGTTCAGATTCGAGCTAAGGTGTTTATGTGTACAGGTTTTGCTGTACATGTATTTGGTTTATTACATTTTGATATTCTATTACACTAGTATACACCGTACCTATTTTATACTTTACATTCAATGCTCTGAAAAGTTGTTAATTTTGAGTTTTTTCATTGTTAGGTGAAACTTTTGTTGTACAAAATTATATATTTCATATTTAAACTTCAAATGTTCTTTCATAAAAGTTACTATTTCTGTTGACGGTCTAACTTTTTTGGCAGCAGGTACTACATTTATTCTGGTCATATTTGGGTTAAATTGTTCGATATCTTTAAAGAAAGATGGCAATAGTTTTTCCATAGCTAACAGAGTAAGATTGTATTCTTCTGTTAGACCAATTAGCATGTAATATTTTTCAATGTTATATTTAGCCTTAGGAATTCCATATGACATATCTGAGCATTTATCATCATGGCCACAAAACCATTCAACGTAACTAGTCGGTTTGTTTAACTTATCTAAGAAACATTTTTGATCCAGAGACGAACTGTTCATATTTTCACGGATACATTCCTCGAATGTCTGGTTTTTGTGTTCTACAAAGAATTGTTTTCGTTCATTCTTTCTCGATTTACTTCCCATTCTTTTAAACATGTAATAGTACCATGACAACGTCTGTTCAAGTGGCTCCCTGATTATGTTAAAATAAATTGGTTGCTGGTATCCAAACATTTCAAAGTGAATAAAATATATGTGCCGATCAAAAACATATTGTTTTGAAGTCGCATTACAAATTGCAAATGACTTTATAAAAGCTTGAAGATTTTTGTGTGATAGTTTTGGTTCCCAATATTTGTGAGAATGTATATGCTTAAACTTTTTTCTTAGTCTCCTTAGAAAATGAAGCATGGTCGAGGAGCCACATTTTGGCATTCTGTTGTAAAAGACCAACTGTTTATTAGCCTTTGAATATAGTCCAAATGGCTTAATTTGGTCTACATTCTCATGATAATAGTGATCCATGTTATCTTGGTTTCTCTCCAAATTATCTTGGTTATTGTTATCCACTATGTCATTACTGGGGTCCACATGTTTTGGACTGTCCCCATTCATTTTTTGTATATGATCTAAATATTCTAGATCGATATTATCTTTATTGTTTTGAGTTTTATGGGCAACCTTGATTTTGTAATGCTGTCCCATAATAGTATTATTATTTTGGCTCTGGGTACTCCCCAAATGTTGAATATTGCCATTTTTTCCATATAAAGTATAAATGGCTATATCTCCAAGCAGAAATATCATTCCAAAAAGGAACATGTAAGTCCATCTTATTTGACCTTTCATAATGTTGAATCCTACAACATGTTTAAGCTCAGTTTAATTATTAGCACAATAAAATAAGATTAAATACACCCTGCCATGCCAAAAATGCATTTATTGATCAAAAATAGTTTATTAACTGATGAAACTCCAGCTGAGGTAATACAGTGTAGTGATTATTGTTCACTTGCATACCTGTTGTTCTAGTATGAATTAAATCTTTCAACATATATAGTAGCCCGGACAGAATTGTTCAATGGTCACTTTTTCTTTAATAACTTTTTTAGTTTTCAGTATTATCAAAATCTGATTACATATTTGAAAACTAAAGTGAAATTCCGACATATTAAAAAAATATTTTAGGAACATCTCTTAATTTCTTGATATTACAGGCATTCATAGTATGAGTGATGCAAATACATAATTCACCATTTTGCCTCATATTTGTTCAAAATGGCAGCATATTTTGTGAATTTGAATGTTCAGTTGAGAGTTAATATTGTTGTATTGGGCTACTTTGTATGTGTGACGCATGTACATAATACTACAGGGTGGGCCAAAAACCAATACCCAAATTTAAAGATGAATGATTCATATGATACTGTAAATCTTAAACCATGCCATGTATTATATATCATTTTAAAGATAAATCATTTCCTAAGAATATGGCACCATCCAATTACTTTTGTTTTCTTATGAAGTTAAAATTGATACTGGGTGTCATGAGGGACCAAAATTCAGAAAATTAAAATCAAAAAATGTACACACATATTACAGTTATAATATATATATAATGATAATATAATGGTTTATAATATATATATATATATGATATTTCATATTAAGCATACAGTAGAACCTGTATATCTGAACACCTGTCTAATCCAAACACCTTCTAATTTGAACACTTTTTTCGGTCCCATTTTTTCCTCCCATTGACTCCAATGTTAAAAAAACTTGAAATCTGAACACCTCCTAATCTGAACATTTTTATCAGAAATCAAAATAATGTCTGGACATTTCAATAATAGCTACATATTGAGTCAATGCTATAGTTGTTATTTATCTTTAGATATACAATGTAATCAAAGAACCAATATTGTCCTAATTAACTTATTTAAGTCTCAGTGACATCCCTAAATGTGGAAAACAACAGGATGCATTGGAAAGGTGTGAATACAGGAGTTCATTGGATTATCCTTTTAGAAAAGAACTGAATGTTTTATGTTTGGATTAAGAGAAAGGTGTGAATCAAGAAGTTAATTGATTTATCATTATTGGAAATAACCTGAATGTTTTTGATTTGGATTAATAGAAAGGTGGGAATCTAGGAGATAATATTGGTTTATCCCTATTGAAAATTAACTGGATGTTTTTGATTTGGATTATAAACTGTTTTATATCCCATGGGTTTGTTATGACAGCTAAAATTCAATCATTAAATGATTTAAAATCTCAAAGACAACACAGACACATTTGCGGACAAGATCGTGTCACGAGAAAGAGAAAAAATTCAACTTCGTATACATATCCTATCACTAAAATGCCTCCTAAAAAGGCATACATCTGACATCCTGAATGCCCTTGATATTTTGAAGGATTATACATCATCTCGAATGAACACTCATGAAAAATTCTTTTTACTTGAAGATGATATCTACTCAGTCAAATATTGCTAATGCTAAAAGTGCCAAGAAACAAACAACAATGAACGACTTTTTCAAGCTAAAGTAAAGCAGTGCTATATAACCATAATATGGGATAAGTCATTTAATAAGCATAAGATTTCATACGAGACTATCATATACTTATACAGTGTATTACAAAGTTTTTGCCAAAATTTAAGAGTTATTTTTCCTTAAATAATGAAATTGTTCAAAATGTAAATAAAACATAGCAAATACATGTAGGCTATTCACCTTTCCACAAAGTAAAGAAAATCGATAATTTCCGGCGCGCTGATTGGTTGTATGCAAATGAGTCAAATCAATGACGTCAATGATGGAAAGTTTTGAAGAATTAGTACATCTAGCATAGGAATATTTTGAATTAACTGCAATAAAAAGGATTCTATTTGCCCAACGCACTAATTATTTTTAATCAAATATGAAATATGGATGGGGCACTTTCATTCCGAATCTTATGTAATTCAATTTAATCATTTTTGACAGAACTATTGTTTATTAAGATTTCTCAGATCAGCCTCACATACCCGGGCTCAAATGTCTCGTGCGATTGAAAACAAAAAATGTAAATTGTGAGGTTACAAACAACTCGGTTAAATTATCTGATAGTGGTCATACACTATCCTGTTAAATGGTTATTATGTCGTAGTAAGAAGTTCCATCAGAAATTCACCATGAGTGACATTCGCGCAAAGCGTTACCTTTTGGTATTTAATTATTCGCCATCAGCGATGTCAATAATGATCAGCAATGTCAACAATGTCAACATATCATCAATAAACATTATATGATATACGCTCTTTCTCTGAAATCATCCCAGTGATCATTATTCAAAACCGATCATCACATAACTAATTTATCCAATGACAATAAAAGTAAGGCATCACAAGTGAAATCAGGACACCCATATCCATGTTTGTTTTCTATTAAGCGTTCTCATTCTCATTATTCTCGAGAAATCCATCATCATTTTGGTTAAGAAGAATTCTATGGTCTGCTGGATCTATTTTGACAGTTTTGCTTTAGCAAGATATTTTAACAAATTTACTGTTTCTACACTGAATAAAAAACATTTTCCCAGGAATATTTGGATCGGGAGATACGCAGCAGGAAATATACATTGGAATATATATATATATATATGTTTATCCCATACTTGGACGTGTTACAGGTACATAAAGGCAGTTTGTAAAAACTTATATTTTCATCAGCGGGCAGATATAGCTTTACGTCCCGCTCCGAGCGGTCAGATATAGTATATCTGCCCGCTACGTCATAATCGCCGCTCGCATATTTGTTCATACAGTTATTTGTAACGTTCGCGTAATGTCTGTAAACGACAATGGAGAAAACATAGATAATCGGGATCTGTTTGATGGTTTAAAAAAGGGAAGGAGCATCCACGTAATCAATCAAAAACTCGAGAAAATAAATGTGGGAATAATATTTGAGAGAACAGGAAAATCCACCCACGGTGAGTGACATTCGCGCAAAGTGTTACCTTTTGGTATTTAATTATTCGCCATCAGCGATGTCAATAATGATCAGCAATGTCAACAATGATCAGCAATGTCAACAATGATCAGCAATGTCAACATATCATCAATAAACATTATATGATATACGCTCTTTCTCTGAAATCATCCCAGTGATCATTATTCAAAACAGATCATCACATAACTAATTTATCCAATGACAATAAAAGTGAGGCATCACAAGTGAAATCAGGACACCCATATCCATGTTTGTTTTCTATTAAGCGTTCTCATTCTCATTATTCTCGAGAAATCCATCATCATTTTGTTTAAGAAGAATTCTACAGTATGCTGGATCTATTTTGACAGTTTTGCTTTAGCAAGATATTTTAACAAATTGACTGTTTCTACACTGAATAAAAAACATTTTCCCAGGAATATTTGGATCGTGAGATACGCAGCAGGAAATATACATTGGAATATATATATATATAAATGAAACATTGGTTTCTTATGTAAAATTAATGACGTCATACATAAATAATAATTATACCTGCACAGGTATATATTTTATGACGACATTAATTATAATTACGTCATCCTGCGATTATCTGTCAGTTGCCTGAAGATTTGAAGAAACTAGTTGCAACGAAATGAAGTCATCTTGTGTTTTTATTTAAATTTTATTATATATATATATATATATATATGTTTATCCAATACTTGGACGTACATGTATATTGGACGTATATTGGGACTATTTGAGAGAACAGGAAAATCCATCCACGGCCAAGAAGACAAAACTGGACATGAATATTCTAAAATATTTCCACGATTGAACAATGTGAACCAGATGACCAAGATTGGTATGGGATAAACATATTATCCTATAGTCCACCCGTATAGCTCAGCGGTAGCGCAGGTACCTCTTACGCAATAGGTCCCGGATTCGATCCCCGGTTCAGGCAAGACTTAATTTGCTTGTTTGCGTGAAGTACTTCAGGGTGTTTGACTGAGTGGTCCGCAACTCGTACAAAAGGCTGTGGTGTGTACTTGTATGTCTATGTATAAGTGCACATAAAAGAACACAGGGCTCCTTCAAGGAGGGGTTTCTGGGTCTATCTTCCATGTTAATTACGTAAATTACGACCGTATATATACGGGACATACCCAAGAGGTATTGCTCACTATCATTGGTGGTAAACAAAATACAATACAACAATATAGTCGGGCAGATATATCATATTTGCCTCGGGATAATCCCAATATCCTGAACCTCATATAGGATACTCTTTATATATGTCACGCTCCTCCAAGATATCAATTCTATATTCCAATGTTTTCAAGTATAATATTTTCAAGATACGATCTGATATGACTTGCAGAAATAAATAGGAAGTAATTGTTTAGTTGATTGAATTATGGAAGTAGTGACGTCAATGATTTAATGAATAAGAGCAACTGTTTTTAATTTGAACAGGTCATTCATCAAATGACACTGAAGATTAACTTAAAATAGATTGTCTATCTATATATTTTTATGCATGGGAAACATGTTATAATGTTGGTGAACTAACGATTATGATAATTTCACCTGTTCACATCTCGTTCCTGTCATGATTGAAAACTGAACGGGAGTAATTCTCTTCAAATTATTTACTCATCATGAACAGAAATGTAAAGCAGATATGAAATGGTATTTTTAACCTAAAGGAATCAATATAATTTTTTGATAAATGAATTTGGGCATGTTTTCTCATCATTAGTGTGAAAATTATTTCACTCTAACGATCGTTAAAGCTGCTTAATAAGCAATATTCAAATTTGTTGTGACGTTATTGGCCCCCACGTGATCTCTCACTGGCCCCCACGTGTCCCGTTTTATTCCATTAGATCATGACGTCATAATGATTTTTAAGCAGCTCATTATAATATTCATGAGCTGACTTTGTGGAAGGTGAATAGGCCTATTATAGAATAAAGTCATCAACAACATGTATTGTTTTCTGACTTAACAATACCAACAATATCCTTGAAATTTAAACACCTGCCAATTTGAACGCTTTTGGCTGGTCCCATGGGTGTTCGGATTAGACAGGATTTACTGTAGTACATTTGTGCCTTTTCAGTTATTTTGTATTGGATTACAATTGGCTTCGAACAAAATTCAGGAAAAAGTATTAGTACGCTCATCATTGGTCAAAAATGTCTGAATTAGCAAGTGTGTACATTACACAATTTTTTTTTTATAATGTGAATCAATGAGATAGCAAAATTGAGATTAAGAAAAGGTGTCCATATTCAGAAATGTTTAGATTATAGCTAATGTGCTTATGTGTACAGGTTTTAGTGTACATGTATTTGGTTTATTCTATTACACTTGTAAACACCGTACCTATTTTATACCTAACTATTTTTATACTTTACATTCAATGCTCTGAAAAGTTGTTAATTTTGAGTTTTTTCATTGTTAGGTGAAACTTTTGTTGTACAAAATTGTATATTTCATATTTATACTTCAAATGTTCTTTCATAAAAGTTACTATTTCTGTTGACGGTCTAACTTTTTTGGCAGCAGGCACTACATTTATTCTTGTCATATTTGGGTTAAATTGTTTGATATCTTTAAAGAAAGATGGCAATAGTTTTTCCATAGCTAACAGTGTAAGGTTATATTCCTCTGTTAGACCAATTAGCATGTAATATTTTTCAATGTTATATTTAGCCTTTGGAATTCCATATGACATATCTGAGCAGTTATCATCATGGCCACAAAACCATTCAACATAACTTGTCGGTTTGTTTAACTTATTTAACAAACATTTTTGATCCAGAGACGAACTGTTGATATTTTCACGGATACACTCCTCGAATGTCTGGTTTTTGTGTTCTAAAAAGAATTGTTTTCGTTCATTCTTTCTCGATTTACTCATCATTCTATTAAACATGTAATAGTACCATGACAACGTCTGTTCAAGCGGCTCCCTGATTATATTAAAATAAATTGGTTGCTGGTATCCAAACATTTCAAAGTCAATAAAATATATGTGCCGATCAAAAACATATTGTTTTGAAGTCGCATTACAAATTGGAAATGACTTTATAAAAGCTTGAAGATTTTTGTGTGATAGTTTTGGTTCCCAATATTTGTTAGAATGTACATGCTGAAACTGTTTTTTTAGTCTCCTTAAAAAATGAAGCATGGTCGAAGAGCCACATTTTGGCATTCTGTTGTAAAAGACCAACTGTTTATTAGCCTTTGAATATAGTCCAAAAGGCTTAATTTGGTCTACATTCTCATGATAATAGTGATCCATATTATCTTGGTTTCTCTCCCAATTATATTGGTTATTGTTATCCACTATGTCATTTCTGTGGTCCACATGTTTTGGACTGTCCCCATTCATTTTTTGTATATGATCTAAATATTCTAGATCGATATTATCTTTATTGTTTTGAGTTTTATGGGCAACCTTGATTTTGTAATGCTGTCCCATAATAGCATTATTATTTTGTCTCTGGGTACTCATCAAGGGTTGAATATTGCCATTTTTTCCATATAAAGTATAAATGGCTATATCTCCAAGCAGAAATATCATTCCAAAAAGGAACATGTAAGTCCATTTCATTTGACCTTTCATAATGTTGAATCCTACAACGTGTTTAAGCTTAGTTTAATTATTAGCACAATAAAATATGATTTAAGTACACCCTGTGCCAAAGATGCATTTATTGATCAAAAATAGTTTATTAACTGATGAAACTCAAGCTGAGGATACAGTGTAGTGAATTTTGTTCACTTGCATACATGCTGTTCTAGTATGAATTAATTCTTTAAACAGTAGTAATATAGTAGCCCGGACAGAATTTTTCAATGGTCATTTTTTTCTTTAATAACTTTTTTAGTTTTCAGTATTATCAAAATCTGATTACATATTTGAAAACTAGAGTGAAATTCCGACATACTAAAAAAATATTTTAGGAACATCTCTTAATTTGTTGATATTATAGGCATTCATAGTATGAGTGATGCAAATACATAATTCACCATTTTGCCTCATATTTGTTCAAAATGGCAGCATATTTCATGAATTTGAATGTTCAGTTGAGAGTTAATATTGTTGTATTGGGCTACTTTGTATGTGTGACGCATGTACATAATACTACAGGGTGGGCCAAAAACCAATACCCAAATTTAAAGTTGAATGATTCATATGATACTGTATATCTTAAACCATGCCATGTATTATATATCATTTTAAAGATAAATCATTTCCTAAGAATATGGCACCATCCAATTTAAAAACATTTGTTTTCTTATGAAGTTAGAGACTAAAATTGGCACTAGGTGTCATGAGCGACCAAAATTCAGAATGACCGAATCATTATAAATCTCTTTAAAGGAACATTCCTTGCCAGACTATCTCTCTCCTGATATGGTAGCTACAATCATATTTAGCAAAACACAGGAATTTTTTTTCATATGGTCAATATTGATCATTTAAAAATGTAGTACTCATTCCCAGTAAGCTACCATCTTTTCAGATTTCTTTCAGGAAGTGATGTCATCGACTCTCACCTGTTATAACCTTGTCTATTACAGTATAGGAAAGAAGTACAAAATCACTTCTAAACAAGAAGCCCTTATCTTCTGTGTAAAAATATTTTCAGGATTTGTCAACTTAGAACTAAAGAAGAGATCATCAAAAGGATTTTAATCATAGACCAAACTGAAAAAATATTCAGCTGGTTTAGTAATTCTAATAGCTCCTTACCTAATGTTATATGCAAAGTTGAGAGTCGATGACATCACTTCCTGAGTGAAATTGAAAAAGATGGCAATTGAGCACTACATTTTTAAGTGATCAATATTGACCATTTCAAAACATTTTTCTGTTTTTTGAAAAACTTGTAAAGTATGTATATGGTTATAGCTACCATATTAGGAGAGAGATGGTCTGGCAAGGAACCCCTTTAAGTAATATACAATTAATAGAAAGGAAAAGTTGAAAAATTCCTAAAAACAACAGGCGATTTTGAGAAAACGACTGGTGAAAATCTCCTGTTGCCTGCTGCTAATGAAACCCCTGTAAGTATTATTGGTGCATTATGGACTAAACTTGTATAAATGTACCTCTTTTGGAGGAGCCAAAGTTCAAATTTCCATCCATTTTCCACAATTTGAAAATCTGCAGTGAATAATTCTTTGGTCGCTCATAACACCCCTGATGTCATTTTCAGCCCCTTACTTTTCAATAAAGCAAAAGTTTTTCAATTGACCTTTTGCGATCAGAATTCAGGAATTTTGTTTATGGATACTGTTGTCACGTATTTCGTCTTATTGGTGTGACGTCATATAGAAATGATATTAGACATGATGGAATCACGAAATGGCGGACACGTGGCAGTTTTGAGCTAAAAATATTGTCGTTTCTTATATAAAAACCATGGGTCGGATATTTACCAGGTATGCCGATTTGACTAGATCATGAGTATGTCTATATATATGCGAAGTTTGGGTGAAATTCATACTAAACATCGATGCCTATAAGCGCCCCCCGTTTTTGTCAAAATCGGGGGGCGCTAAACCGCTATCTAAATCATGTCAGTAAGACCTTAGACTTGGTATGTGCTTAGCATGAATGTTGATCTAGTCAAATTTCGTGAAAAATAAATCAATAAAGCACGAAATATAGAAGATAATCTCTCAAAATCAAGCATCTAAAGCTGGGTGACCTAATTGTGACGTCACTAAAAGACAGAATCCATTCGGTGATCGCAAATCATCAATTGGATGGTATCATATTGTTAGGAAATGATCTTTAAAATGGTATATAATACCTGGCATGATTTAACATATATCATATGATATTTATCTTTAAACTTGGGTAATGTTTTTTTGGCCCACGCTGTAGATATGAAAGTAGATGTTTTGTCCAGTTTATTATGACAGCAAATTGATAGCAATATAAGAAGTATATCAGACCATATAAGGCCAGTCAAAGTTAATCATATGTTTGAAGACTTCCTGAAGAGCCAAATTCCACAAGAGTGGGGAGTAAAAAGACAAACAAATTCCGTCGACCCTTGGTTACCTATTGTTTTGCATGTGAAAGTGAGTTCAGGTTTACATTGAATCCATGGTTTATAATAAGTTTTAAAGATGTCACTAGCAGCATGAGGGCTTTGAACAAATTGAGCAGAATCACTTACTACTTCCAGTTGATACAATTTTCTTTTCAAAATTTATTTGTTCATTTCGATTGGTTTAATTTGTGGCGCAAAATGATATTTAAAAATGGTTTCCAGAGTTCACAGATTTAGGACAGAAAGAAAGAATATGGATGATGTTATTTCTGACAGTTCAGGAAGATATAAAGGTTCTTATATGAGTATCTATGCAAGATCGTCCATACTTGATGAGCTTTGATAAGTCTTCTTTATCGAGTCACAGATGAGATAAAGAAACATTATCAAAGCGAGTCAAGAATGGATGATTTTAGCATAGGTACGAGTACAAGAACATTTTTCTCATATGACACTGTATTATGCCATACTTTCACGTTTTCATGACAAAACTGGGTGAAAATAGCTTCAGATTAATGGAACTTCATCTTTCAATTGATGATTTGCGATCACCGGATGGAATCTATCTTGTAGTGACGTCACAATTAAGCCACAACGCTGTAACTTTTTGATTTTGAGAGATTATCTTCTGTATTTCGTCCTTAATTGAATTTTGTTTCACGAAAGCGTTCGATTTGACTAGATCAACATTCATGCTAACCACATACCAAGTCTAAGATCTTACTGACATGATTTAGATAGCGGTTAAGCACCCCCCGATTTTGAAAAAACGGGGGGCGCTTATAGGCATTGATGTTCAGTATGAGTTTCACCGAAACTTCACACATATATAGATATACTCATGATCTAGTCAAATCGGCATACCTGGTAAATATCCTACCCATGGTTTTTATAAGAGAAACGATAATATTTTTTGCGCAAAACTGCCACGTGTCCGCCATTTCCTCTCTCCATCATATCTTACATCATTTTTATATGACGTCACACCAATAAGACAAAATACATGTCAACAGTATCAATAAACAAAATACCTGAACTCTGATCGCAAAAGGTCAATTGATATGATGTCATAACAATATTGTAGAAAATTCATAGATACGCTTGGCAACAAAGCTCTATTGTTATGACGTCACAGCTTAGTTTAGTAGAATGAGCATGGATACTCTTAGCAACTGTGTATTTGTTGCTATGTTGTTGATGTTTATAGACCAGTGATGTCACAAGTAAATCTCAACTTACATGTGTGACTTTTTAGGATGAAAGGTGGCAATATCTTGCATGGGGGAAAGATGGCTGTAACTTGGCTAGTCATATGAGAAAAATTGATAATGAAAGTGATTAAGAAAATGGCAATATAGATGCAGGGGTTTTCCTGATAAAGACAAGACAATGTAAACAGGACAAAACGTAACAACCTGTCAAGTTATTACAAATGGTTGCAAAAGCATAACAACAGATCTTAAGTTTGTCCTGTTTTTGCATGGACAGATTGCTACCTACAACAATGACATAATCAATCTAGCCAATATATCATAGCTTCTTTGATGTACCAAAAGGTGGCAATGGTCTTTTGTTACAGACCTTAAAGGGATATTCCTTGCCAGACCATCTCTCTCCTAATATGGTAGCTATAACCATATATTAACTTTCCATCTTTAGCAAAACATGACAAATGTTTTGGTATAGTCAATATTGATTCCTTAAAATTGTAGTGCTCAATTCCAGTAGGCTGCCATCTTTTAAGATTTCACCCAGGAAGTGATGTCATCGACTCTCAACTTTGAATATAGCATTAGGAAAAGAGCTATTAAGAATAACAAAACCAGCAGAATATTTTTTCAATTTGGTCTTTCATTTAAATCCTTCTGAAAATCTCTTCTTTATTTCTAAGTTGACAAGCCCTGAAAATATTTTTCCACAGAAGATAAGGGGTTCTTCTGAAGAAGTGATTTCGTGCTACTTTCCTATACTGTAATGGGCAAGGTGAGAGTTGATGACATCACTTCCTGAATGAAATCTTAAAAGATGGCAGCTTACTGGAAATGAGTACTACATTTTTAAATGATCAATATTGACCATATCAAAACATTTTCAAGTGCTTTGCTAAATATGTAAAGTATATAAATGATTATAGCTACCATATCAGGAGAGAAATAGTCTGACAAGGAATTTCCCTCTAAGTGGCAAACACTGATGCCACTCACAATAACATAGACTGCAACAATGACATAATCAATGTAGCCAATACATCATAGCTTCTTTGATGTACCAAAAGGTGGCAATGGTCTATTGTTACAGACCTCTAGTGGCAACCACTGATGCCACTTACAATAACATAGGCTGCAACAACATGACACTTGTTCCTATAAAACCTATAAAACAAAACCTATAGTAAGGTAAAAGAAAGTAAAATAAGTCATTAAGATATCTGAATATAGTACCTCAAGTAGTTCCAGCTTGGCATCTTCAAGTTCTGTCTCTAGACGCGCCTTCATCTCAACAATAGACTTAGCATTGCTCTCTTTCAATCTGTCTTCCTCCTCTTTCATTCTCTGATCCTCAATGTTGATCTAGTCAAATAGAACGCTTTCGTGAAAAATAAATCAATAAAGCACGAAATATAGAAGATAATCTCTCAAAATCAAGCATCTAAAGCTGGGTGACCTAATTGTGACGTCACTAAAAGACAGAATCCATTCGGTGATCGCAAATCATCAATTGGATGGTATCATATTGTTAGGAAATGATCTTTAAAATGGTATATAATACCTGGCATGATTTAACATATATCATATGATATTTATCTTTAAACTTGGGTAATGTTTTTTTGGCCCACGCTGTAGATATGAAAGTAGATGTTTTGTCCAGTTTATTATGACAGCAAATTGATAGCAATATAAGAAGTATATCAGACCATATAAGGCCAGTCAAAGTTAATCATATGTTTGAAGACTTCCTGAAGAGCCAAATTCCACAAGAGTGGGGAGTAAAAAGACAAACAAATTCCGTCGACCCTTGGTTACCTATTGTTTTGCATGTGAAAGTGAGTTCAGGTTTACATTGAATCCATGGTTTATAATAAGTTTTAAAGATGTCACTAGCAGCATGAGGGCTTTGAACAAATTGAGCAGAATCACTTACTACTTCCAGTTGATACAATTTTCTTTTCAAAATTTATTTGTTCATTTCGATTGGTTTAATTTGTGGCGCAAAATGATATTTAAAAATGGTTTCCAGAGTTCACAGATTTAGGACAGAAAGAAAGAATATGGATGATGTTATTTCTGACAGTTCAGGAAGATATAAAGGTTCTTATATGAGTATCTATGCAAGATCGTCCATACTTGAGCTTTGATAAGTCTTCTTTATCGAGTCACAGATGAGATAAAGAAACATTATCAAAGCGAGTCAAGAATGGATGATTTTAGCATAGGTACGAGTACAAGAACATTTTTCTCATATGACACTGTATTATGCCATACTTTCACGTTTTCATGACAAAACTGGGTGAAAATAGCTTCAGATTAATGGAACTTCATCTTTCAATTGATGATTTGCGATCACCGGATGGAATCTATCTTGTAGTGACGTCACAATTAAGCCACAACGCTGTAACTTTTTGATTTTGAGAGATTATCTTCTGTATTTCGTCCTTAATTGAATTTTGTTTCACGAAAGCGTTCGATTTGACTAGATCAACATTCATGCTAACCACATACCAAGTCTAAGATCTTACTGACATGATTTAGATAGCGGTTAAGCACCCCCCGATTTTGAAAAAACGGGGGGCGCTTATAGGCATTGATGTTCAGTATGAGTTTCACCGAAACTTCACACATATATAGATATACTCATGATCTAGTCAAATCGGCATACCTGGTAAATATCCTACCCATGGTTTTTATAAGAGAAACGATAATATTTTTTGCGCAAAACTGCCACGTGTCCGCCATTTCCTCTCTCCATCATATCTTACATCATTTTTATATGACGTCACACCAATAAGACAAAATACATGTCAACAGTATCAATAAACAAAATACCTGAACTCTGATCGCAAAAGGTCAATTGATATGATGTCATAACAATATTGTAGAAAATTCATAGATACGCTTGGCAACAAAGCTCTATTGTTATGACGTCACAGCTTAGTTTAGTAGAATGAGCATGGATACTCTTAGCAACTGTGTATTTGTTGCTATGTTGTTGATGTTTATAGACCAGTGATGTCACAAGTAAATCTCAACTTACATGTGTGACTTTTTAGGATGAAAGGTGGCAATATCTTGCATGGGGGAAAGATGGCTGTAACTTGGCTAGTCATATGAGAAAAATTGATAATGAAAGTGATTAAGAAAATGGCAATATAGATGCAGGGGTTTTCCTGATAAAGACAAGACAATGTAAACAGGACAAAACGTAACAACCTGTCAAGTTATTACAAATGGTTGCAAAAGCATAACAACAGATCTTAAGTTTGTCCTGTTTTTGCATGGACAGATTGCTACCTACAACAATGACATAATCAATCTAGCCAATATATCATAGCTTCTTTGATGTACCAAAAGGTGGCAATGGTCTTTTGTTACAGACCTTAAAGGGATATTCCTTGCCAGACCATCTCTCTCCTAATATGGTAGCTATAACCATATATTAACTTTCCATCTTTAGCAAAACATGACAAATGTTTTGGTATAGTCAATATTGATTCCTTAAAATTGTAGTGCTCAATTCCAGTAGGCTGCCATCTTTTAAGATTTCACCCAGGAAGTGATGTCATCGACTCTCAACTTTGAATATAGCATTAGGAAAAGAGCTATTAAGAATAACAAAACCAGCAGAATATTTTTTCAATTTGGTCTTTCATTTAAATCCTTCTGAAAATCTCTTCTTTATTTCTAAGTTGACAAGCCCTGAAAATATTTTTCCACAGAAGATAAGGGGTTCTTCTGAAGAAGTGATTTCGTGCTACTTTCCTATACTGTAATGGGCAAGGTGAGAGTTGATGACATCACTTCCTGAATGAAATCTTAAAAGATGGCAGCTTACTGGAAATGAGTACTACATTTTTAAATGATCAATATTGACCATATCAAAACATTTTCAAGTGCTTTGCTAAATATGTAAAGTATATAAATGATTATAGCTACCATATCAGGAGAGAAATAGTCTGACAAGGAATTTCCCTCTAAGTGGCAAACACTGATGCCACTCACAATAACATAGACTGCAACAATGACATAATCAATGTAGCCAATACATCATAGCTTCTTTGATGTACCAAAAGGTGGCAATGGTCTATTGTTACAGACCTCTAGTGGCAACCACTGATGCCACTTACAATAACATAGGCTGCAACAACATGACACTTGTTCCTATAAAACCTATAAAACAAAACCTATAGTAAGGTAAAAGAAAGTAAAATAAGTCATTAAGATATCTGAATATAGTACCTCAAGTAGTTCCAGCTTGGCATCTTCAAGTTCTGTCTCTAGACGCGCCTTCATCTCAACAATAGACTTAGCATTGCTCTCTTTCAATCTGTCTTCCTCCTCTTTCATTCTCTGATCCTCATTGGCTCGTCTGAAGCAAAAAATACATCGAATGTGAAATCATAAACCCATATCAAATATAGACAAGAAACAAAATATACATCCAACCTCAAATATGCTTATTTAAAGACTCCATCCAAAACAGTCTATTTGTTCTTGCCACTGTGATATTTCGAAATGGATTTGTACCAATTCCCAATTTTTCCTCCTCCTACTTTTAGTTGTGGAGTAATTCAAGATAGTCAAAAGGTACATGTACATACCTATCTGCAGCCATGGCCGCAGTCTCTGCTTTCCTGCGTCTTTCTTCCTCATCTGCTAGTCTTTCAGCAGCAGCCTGTAAATACCATGTAAACATTAGGGAATATGTCAAAATGTATAACAGTTGTATGAGGAAAAATATAATTAAACAATTATAGAATCATAAATCTAAAATAAAATTATACTTTAAAAATTATACCTTCATATCTTTGGCCTGTTTTTCTTCTTGTTCTTTCAATTCTTGTTCTTTCTGTTTAGCTGCTTCTTTTTGCTTTCGTTCCTCCATCATTTTCTTTCGTTCTTCATCTAATTGTCTCCTCTCCTCGTCTCTTTTCCTCAGCATTTCTTCCTCTTTTTTCTTTTGTTCTTCTTCTTCCTTCTTTCTTGAGCTCTTCAAGAATGACTTGCCTAATAATGAGAAATGTGTCAGATGATGAAATGCCATGGAGGTGGAGATGTGGTGACATGTCATGGAGGTGAAACTGTGGGGAAATGTGATATAGGTGAAAATTTGGTGACATTCATGGAGTTGACAATGTGGTGACATTCTTTTGGGTAAATGTGACATGTCATGGAGGTGAAAATGTGGTGAAATGTAATGTAAGTGAAAATGTGGTGACATGGCATGGAGGTAACAATGGGTGACATTCATGGAGGTGACAATGCCTTGATATGTCATAAAGGTGAAAATGTGGCAAAATATCAGATGAGTCATGTTTACATGTCACTCTTGTTGTCAAGGCCCAAAGTTGTGGAGCAATGAAGAAAATCATTGTACTGCATAAGGAACAGAATGACAATCATACAGTAAAAGTTTTACCTGTGAATTCTTTCTTAGGTTCCTCGTCTCTTGCTGTTGACTTGTAGGAAGATGTAGATCCACCTGGGTCAAAGTCCTAAAACATAAATTCAAGAATCAGATCAAGGACAAATAACTACAATGAGAAATGGGAAGACATATGTTTCAAGTGGAATCAAATAGTGCACATTTTTAGTCAAGTCGAAAGTAGTAGAATCAGAAGCAGAAATAAAGTATATTAGTGACATTTAGAGTTCACATTAAAGTAAATATTGTAAAGAAATGACATTTAGAGTTCACATTAAAGTAAATATTGTAAAGAAATGACATTTAGAGTTCACATTAAAATAAAGATTGTATAGAAAAATGCCATTTAGAGTTCACATTAAAGTAAAAATTGTATAGAAAATGACATTTAGAGTTCACATTAAAGTAAAGATTGTATAGAAATGACATTTAGAGTTATAATACAAATAAAGAAATGACATTTAGATTTTAAAGAGTATAAAGTGAAATTATATTGTACACTTATATACATGTACGAGGGGTGATCAATAAGTAATGGACGCTTTTTTACACAGATACTTTTTATGGACCAATCCCTTTGATTTTCCTACCAGTGATACATCATTCAATTATCTATCAATTCTGAAGATTTGAAGACAAAATATATAATACATGTTGATATATCCTTATTTCCCTGAAGGAGGTACAGGTACCCCGGGACCGACATTTACGTCACATATTAAGTTTTAGCCAGTTTGGCAAATTTCAGGTAGATTTAAACTTTTTTTATATGCAACAAGTGTTGTGTTGTTTGAAATATGTTTCTGACTGGTAACACATAAACAGTAAGTATTTTGCTGTCAGAGTGTTGTATGGTCGGGGTTTGCAGGTCAATTTGATGAATCATTGTGGAAGATGGGGTTGGTGAGAGAAGGGAACACCCTACTCCATATTGACAATGTACCTGTCCACAGATCTCAAAATGTTCAGAAAACAATATCCCTGGACATCAAAGTTGAGCCCTTGGCCAATGCATTATATTGTCCAGATCTGCCCACATGTGACTTATTTATTGACATTGATGAAATAAAACAACCCGTGCAACTGCATCTTGCTACCATGTCAGAGAATGGATTCAGCCTTTTCTCTCAATCTTAAGTTAAGAGGATTAGGAATAGTGTACATGTAGCACTTGATGGAACCCATGTAGATGGACCCTGTAAAATGAATGTGGCATGAATACCACATAGTGATGATAAAATATTCAAAATCAACTATGGCATAACAAAATGGGGTAATCCATGACCATAATGGTTTGTTTTGTTCAGCCCGCATTCAACTGCATTGCATGTTAAACAAGCTAAAATAGCTTCAGAATGTTTGACGTAATGTCGGTCCCGGGGTACCTATACCTCCTTCGCGGAAATAAAGATATATCAAAATATATAACATGTTTTGTTTTCAAATCTTCAGAGTTGATAGATAATTGAATGATGTATCACTGGTAGGAAAATCGAAGGTATTGGTCTATAAAAAGCATCCGTGTAAAAAAGCGTCCATTACTTATTGATCACCCCTCGTACATGCAGTTTTTGTGTCAGTCATGGTTAAGGGTATAGAGAAATCAAACCATGAACTTTTCTTGCACAATGGTATGTACAGCAGATAAAAATCCCTCCAAATCATCAACACTACAACCAACATTCACCATGACCTACCCTATCCATAGAAGCGCCTACAGGGCCCAAACTATCAATATCCAAGATTCGCTCTGAGAGTCCCTTGTCAATTCCAAAGTCTACATCTCTCCCGTAATCTTCACTCTCACTGTCAGACACATTGAATTGTAGCTCCTTGTGTTGGCCATCACTTTGGTCTGAATCCTGGATGATAAAATCAAATTGCTTATCATTAAGAGAATGAGACCAAGGGAAGAATATGATTTCAAGACATTCAAGACATCGCATTAACATGCAAAATGTCACCACCTGCCATTTGTTACAGATGCCACTTGTGGAGGTGATATAATAAACAGAATTTTCTAATTAATTTAACTCATGAACATACATGAATGCAGCCAAAAGATTTTTTAATTAACAGATCTAAATTACCAAACAAAAAATAACACCTGAAAAATTGAAGGTGTATGTAACTTAAAAATCACTGACATCGATACATGTGGATTGATGTACTCTCTTCTTTAAATTATCAATACACTTTATCCATATTCAAAGTATTGAGGCGTAGAAGTATTGAGCGTTCATGTTACCTCATATCCAAGGTCCCCTATGTCATGTATGTTATCTAACTTGTACTTGGCGGGCCCTTCATCTGACTGAAAACAACAAGACACAAAAATCCGAAATAATGGTTTATAAAAGTAGAGCTTTCTGTGTGTGATGTATAATTTTTACATTTTTCTTTAAATTGTACTTGTTGCAGTACATATTCTGTACATTTAAAATGAGACCAGATTTCATTATTTTGGAAATTGAATTTCTTTGTTAAAATGTTATGGGAATGGACTTTGTAGGGTATTAGATAAAATAAAAGTTAGTACCTCGCTAGAAAGGTTAAAATCCATCTGTATATTTTCCTCCCTCTTGCCTCCAAGACTTCCAGCGCCCCCTGACTTCAGAGATCCACTCGTGCCTCCTAGGTTACGCTTCTACAACAAAATACATCATTTTTGATTCTCTTCACATATCTTTCTGCTTTCTTATTCATTTCAAAAATAAATATTCCAATCTGATTTTATCATATTTATATTCATTTTTATTATTGTTAATCATATTATACACACAATGTCAAAAAGACAAAAATTATCTACAACCTTGTAAAGAAATTAAGACATAGAAGAATCAATTGATAAATTGACTTTAACAAGAAAGTTATGGCTTCAATGTACCGTGGTGCTGTTTAAAAATTTTCCAGCTTAACACAAAACAATCACTTTTCTTAACTGCCAGACAATCCGTTTTACAACTTGGCCATTGCTTAGGATTCGTCATGAAACAATCGAGATGCTATGACACCTATCATGATGTAGCCTATATGGTTTGCGACAAAATATTATGTAGGGTACTAGTTAACACTGAACAGCTATGAACCGCCTTAAATATGGCCTTATATAATACCTGAGTTATGAACCATATTGCACAGATTGCTTTATTTAATACCTGATGCCAAGGTGTAGTAAGAGATAAAGTATCAGGAGGGGTTTTAAACTGAAATATATATTCATTTTACCAAATTGAGATATTGCTATGGAAGGCCATCAAAAAGTAGCCATTATTTTTTAGGAATTTTTCACATTTTACTTTTTTTTCAAAACATAAAGCTGATGTTTATTTATTTTAGGTATATCTCTAAAGAAAAATCCGGGAAATATTCATCAAATATTTTACAGATCAAGGATCCTGAATTTCAACTATATATCCCATAACATAATAGGTTTAAGAATCAGCCTCACAATATAGATGTCATTTTTCTCATTCATTACTTACCTTCTCTGCTCCAGACTTGATTGGGGCAAGAGATCCTCCAAGTGATCCACCAAGAGAGCCTCCCAATGAGCCCCCAAGTGAGCCTCCTGTTGATTTCAAGGTGTTACCGGGACTGCTCAATGGTCCTAAGCCACCCTGTTAAAATAAACATCAGACAAATGTATGAGTTAGATGTCAGATGATTCAAAGTATGATATTTGCATATATGCATATAAAAACAAACTGAATATGTATGTGTAAACAGATAAAATCAAATATTTCTATGATTCTGTCACTATATATTAAGAAGGGGGACATTTACAAGAAGCTGGCTTTTCTTAATAAATAATTCTCCTGTTATGATGTCATTACATCCTTGACTACAAATTAATTAATAAGAATTATAAGATAAAGTTAAATATACATGTAACATGTAAAGTACATGTAAAGTAATTATAAGCTATTTACTAGGTGTTACATGCACATTTTTACTCAATACTATGTTTTTATTTAATTCATTCTGAATTTGCTACAAGGCGACCCAAAATCCAACCCTCTGATTTGGTAATAGGGAGTTTAAGCTTGCAATGTTTTTCACAACCTGAACGTGAACGGAAAATATTTAAGCGATGCATTTGTATAGGCGATTGGTCATACATATAGGTTGGCATTTCGATTTAAAGCAGATATGAAATGGTATTTTTGACCTAAAGAAATCAAAATAAATTTTTGATAAATGTATTTGGACATGTTTTCTCATCAGTATTGTGAAAATTGATTCACTCTAACGATCGTTATAGCTGCTTAATAAGCAATATTCGAATTGGTTGTGACATTATTGGCCCCCACGTGATCTCTCACTGGCCCCCACGTGACCTGTTCTGGTCAACTGAATATGACGTCATTTTTTTTAGTAACGCCTTAGCAACTCTATTGCCGCCACTTTATGTTTACAAAATGCCGCCATGCATACTTCGATGTAGTCACAGTAAACATACAGCTTTATTATCCTACGACCATGTAGCCTATTGAACAATGTGCCCCTATTACAGAAGAGACATTGGGTACGATTGCTGTATCATATTGCATTTGAACGGCGATGCTGCAATCTAAATTTAATGAAATAGTTTGTCCTAGATATCGTTTCTTTGTACTCCACGGCACAAGGACCGATTATTTTCCCCAAAATTGTGAAATTGAAATGGACCTCCCTTGTTCATCATTTCGGCAATATTAAATGTAGAAATAGCATCAATTTTTTATTCATATTGAAAAACATATATTTCCGTGAATCTTTTACTGAATACATATCCTGAAATCTGATTTGCCCCGAATCCACCGTCATTTCGTCTGATTTCTAGAGTTGAGGTACTCTCCAGAGGCAAAAATTACATAAACTAGACACGCTTTTAGATTTATTTCATTGTTTTTACATCGTCTTGCACGAACTTTTGGGTTTAGATTTATCCTAACACTGATGTTTTAGGTATGTTAGTCTCACATTTTAGTCATTGCTAGATCGCGTTCAAAGTGCTAACATACTAACATGGCTAAGTACCGTTTGCATTACCATGGTCCCCAGACGGGCAACGATGCCATCGACGATTTAGAAATCCGTCCAGAAACAAAATTGAGCTAGAACTTATAAGTGCCATTTAAAAAAAATCTTATTTTTCTTGACGAAGAACATACTAACATGGCTAAGTACCGTTTGCATTACCATGGTCCCCAGACGGGCAATGATGCCATCGACGATTTAGAAATCCGTCCAGAAACAAAATTGAGCTAGAACTTATAAGTGCCATTTAAAAAAAATCTTATTTTTCTTGACGAAGAACATACTAACATGGCTAAGTACTTAGTACCGTTTGCATTACCATGGTCCCCAGACGGGCAATGATGCCATCGACGATTTATAAATCCGTCCAGAAACAAAATTGAGCTAGAACTTATAAGTGCCATTAAAAAAAAAAAATCTTATTTTTCTTGACGAAGAAAGACACGTACATCATACAAACTCTATTCAATTCCATGAAGAAATGAACTCAAATAAAAGTTATCGAGAAATTCTCGAAACCTTTATTGCAAGGTCGGTTTTGCAATTGCAAGTGCGCAAAGAAGGCCTTATTTCATTCCATAATACATATCAACTACATGCCTTCATGTACCGTAGATTGCCAAGATAACAGTTTAGAGGGAATTATAATACTTGCTTGACTAGTTGATCCGTTGTAGGCTGTTGTATCCGAGCACAGTCAATATGCAGTTATGATTTTGGGCAAGCCCATATCATCAAGTCTACAGAAGAAAATATAGATCATGATTTGGGCTTGCCCCAAATCAAATGCATACCGACTGTGTATCCGGACTATAATAAAACATTTGTTCTCTATTTGTTCACACAACAATCGTGCGGTTGCTATAACGTCGCAATTTCCATGATTTCTAAGAAATCAAACTAGAAATAATTATGGCGTCATTGATCACGTGGGGGCCAATATGTTTAATCTGTTATTTTATTATACCGTTATTAAGAACATTAACAGGTGTTTATCATTTACATTTAAATGGTTAACGAGAGAAATTCACGTGGGGTTTACAATGTAGAAAAACGCATTTTTCTAGCTGCAAGTTAAGAAAACCTATTTCATTTGTCCTTTAATATGCAAGCTTAAACTCCCTATTAACTGGTGAAACCCTCCTTTCTAGATTTTTCTCAATAGTGTTCAATGTGGCAACCACCAACCAGTGGTATACTAATAATGTATCTACAGCTTCAGGTATTATGATTATATATAATAGGACTGCCACAGCAGTATCTTGTGCAACCTTTCCAAGAATCAAAACAAATCACAGGAAATGCTATCAGAACGGCATTGTGAATCAGTAATTATAGTAAAATGATGGTACAATGTACAGAGTGTCAAATAAATATGTTCTCCCCCTTAATTTCCAAAGTATGAACTTTTGTGCATAAAAGTGCATCTAGTTGAGCTAGTCATCTGAAACTTCTTGTGGAGTTGCTCCATGAAGCCTGTGGTATTGATGTGCCAAATAACGATTCAGATATCATGCAGACAAAAAGGTATGCAACATCATAAGAATGTTAAAGTTAGAGGGGGGAGACTGTATTTATTTGACACCCTGTAAAAGTATGTTACAATGTTAAAGTATGGTACAATCATTTTATTGTCATATCCTTGTTGAACAGACACACAAATCACAGTATAGATTCACACCTCAGCTGTTCAATCACACAATAAAATAAGGGAAGATTAACATTTAATAGGAATTATTTAATTCCATAAAACATCATTCCAAAACATTTTAAGGCTTCATTTGGGAGGTTTTTAATCTTCATTTCTCAAAAGCATACTATTGCTAAAATACAAGACATCTGTTCATTTTTCACAAAGAAAACAGGATAGGATGAGGTGAAATAGGATTAAATATGAAATGGCGGAAATGCTGAATATTTTATTTTATAAACACTAGCCTAAAAATCACTATAATTCAACATTCACAATTGAAGATCATACACATGACAAAAACACAAATCACAATTTAAGAGCTTTACAAGAGATGTGTTCAATATCTGTCATGGTGCATCTGATAATTCAGCCGATGCAATTCAATAAAAACGTCACATGATCCAGATATTTGAACAAATGGATCCAAAAGGGTATACTCATTGTAAAACTCCAACAGCAAAGAAATACAAAATCAAAAAACAGAGTAACGCCAGTCGAACCAAGGGTCAAACCTTGATCGGGGCCAGAGGTGATTGAGGCTCCCCTAGGACAACCTGGGGAGACCCACGGGGAGATATAGCACTAAGTGCACCCAAAGTAGGACCGGGTGATGATGCTTTCTGGAAAATATGCATCCATAACAAAATACTCATTAAAATGGTCACAAAGGATAGAATTGTAAAATGTTGTCAGTAATCTATTGAATACATGCCAATGTGTTCTTTGGGAATTACTGTGATCAAACATTGTGAAAAATCTCAACTCATTTTTCTATCTTTTCTTACCATTTGTCTCATTTGTCCAGTATAAAGGTCATTTAAGAACCTGACATGACAGAAAATAAATTTTGATCGAAAAATTGTAAAATTAATTCGTATTTGGACCAACCTATTTTTTTAAATGACTGACAAATGATTTGAATAACTGCCTGAATAATTAATCAAATGCATCTACATAACTTCAGGATTCAAAATGCAAAACAATGAGTATATTAACTGTAAAAATGTTTAGAGGCAGTGTTGCAAATTAATGGCTTTGAAAAGACATTGTTAAATGCTTACCTTGCCAGTCTTCCCTTTCTCTTTCCCCTTTTTCTTAAAATCTTTCTTCTCTTTCTTCTTTGGACCTGTCAAACATCATCAATTGTAACATTAATGTAAGATAAGAAAAAATAATCAAAATATAAAGTTCCAGATAATGAAACCATTTAGAAAAGAGTTGTCTCTACGAGAAAAAAATTAGAAACCTGCAGTTGGAAACAACTAACTAAAAATTACTTCCAATAATTCATGATTGATTTGTACAGGTATTACGGTTAAATGAATAATATTATTCTAACCTCCTCCAGCCTTCAATTTCTGCCTTTCTTCAATGACCATGTTCCTGTAGAACTCATCACAGGGGTGATCCCATATACTTTCTCCTGATGCAAAGTTGAAGTAGTATATATCCCCATTGGGGTCTTGGCTATAATGGAAATATAATGTTAGTCAAAAAGTATGTTTTTCAAGTCCAAGTTTTTATTCTAAATGATGTATTTTATTTAAGGTGAGAAATCTGGAATTAACACATTAAACCAAGGAGGAATGTAAAAGTAAATAAATGAGTAGTCTTGCAACCAAGTAACCATTTAGTAATGACCCCCCCCCCCCTAGAGATACAGTTACAGGGAATAAATGAAGGAAAGTACATATTTTACATTTACTAACAATACATCAATAATATGTATACCAAAAATAGTTACCATGGTTTCCAGTTATCAGGCAAAGGAGCATTGATTCCTTCTTTTGCAATCCACATAAGATCTGCATCTTTCTGTGGGTCCAGCCCAATGACACTGGCATACTCCTGCACCTCCCCATCATCTGGTTCATAATGTTCATCATAGTCCTCTTCAAGTATCACCTGGTCATTGATCATCATCTTGAAGCCTTCTTACACCCTAATCAAAATGAATTTAGTGTTCATAATAATAAATACCGTAATTAGATTATGGGATCGAGACCCGACTGTGAGCAATCAACAATTGGCATAATGTAATGTTGTAAAATATTTCTAAAATTATTGAAATAACTAGCAACATATTTGTGCCATTTATTCTGAAAATGAACATCAAATGGTTGAGGTCTGAACTGTTGGGAGGTACAGAACAAGAGAAAATAGTACAGTTGGCGATGAGCAGTATGTCGACCACATAGGTAAGGGGTAGGTGTTAAACTCTCGCTACAATAAAAACTATGTATTAAAAAGAAACTGAGAAACTGGTAGCAGCCACAAGTTACAATAATTAATTCATGAAATATTAACAAGGTAGTTTTTAAGGTACAGCTGGAAAGTAACATTTTGGTAAAAAATTGCAATACCAGCACATGTTATTTTCTGGTACAAAATAAAGTATGAAGACATGTGTCAATTACCTCGCTTTTTTCAGGAAAGTATCATTACATTGTCTTCTTTAAGAATATTTAGTAGGAGTTTAGTGGGAACTCCAGGAAATTCTGATATTTCACACTTTCTATTTTTCCAAATTTTCTTTCAAAGTTTCCAGACAACACAGGAGCTACCATTGACCTGTTTCCAGGTTTACTAAAGGTAGACAGTGTAATGATACTTTCCTGAAAAAAGCAAGGAAATACACACATGCCTTCCTACTTAATTTTGTACCAGAAAATAACATGTGCAGGTATAGCAATTTTTTACCAAAATGTTACTTTCCAGCAGTTGAACCTATTATTCTAATTTTATCACTTATTAGTTACCTAGTAGCTAATTAATTGTAGCAAAAGTAGAAGTTGGTTGCAATGACCTCAAGAGTCTGGTTGCAGTTGGATTTTCACTGACTGGTCTGATCACTGAATAGTCAAGTGGACTGACCATTTTCAAATTTGACCAAAAATGCATGACGATGATAGTCTCAGTATCCAATTACTCACACCACGTATAACGTATTAAAACTTACCTACATTTGAATTTAAAAATTTCTAAATATAAATAATGTCAAAATCTTGACTATTTTATGAGAAATCCTCATTATAGTTCTCAAAATTTGAATTTTAAATTTTTTTCATATCCGCCATTTTGACGCTTGTGGAGCATTATGAATTAAATTTTCAAAACAAATGATTGTTAGTTATTTCAACGCATATACCTCTTGCTTTGAGAAGAAAGTTAAAGTGAAATAAAATATTTATTGTCATTGAACTGATTTTATTGAACCCTATTCAGCAAATCGGAAGTAATTCATCTTAATATTAAACTATGAAAACAATTTACTACTTGCTCCAATTGATAATTTGTTTCGTTTAGTACAACAGGAGTACGTTTTCCCCGGGTACCTGTTAATAATCTTTGATTCATACACATGGAAAGGGATATTACTCTCATATTCCAGACACTGATCCACCTACTGTAACTTTCTTTGAAATAGCAAATTGTTGTTAAGTTGAAAAGTTGTTTAATAATCTTTTAAACTGTGAAATAACATATGAGAGCTAATTCTTTGAGGCAATCTTCACATATCAACGTTTCCCTTACAATCGCAATGTCATATTCAAATAAAGGTTGAAGATTCACTGATGCAGGAAAGTCCAAAATCGGAGATGAATGGGAGTCAACGTTTCAATTTACCAAACTGAGGAATTATCCTGAAATAAAGTCAAAACTGTTGGACTTTTTTAAAAATGTGCATGGCATGAAATGATGAGAGTTAAAACTGTTTTAAAAATCTACTGATCAACTTTTACAATTATGCATGCAATGCACAGGACGGTCCAAAAAGTGCTGCAACGGGCTATATATCCTTTATTACCTACGGCAATCCTTTAATATTTTCACATGTTGTAGAGGAAGGTCTAAAATTTTTGTTGGTTTCATACATTCTACTTAGTCTTGAAATTTGCAGATATTATAACGCCCTAACCAATAACATTACTGAAAATGTATAAAATGTGAACTTCAATATCCGTGATTCTTCAATCATCCAAGACCCTTCACCTGACGATGTTTTTAGCCGCAGTCTGAAAGATCTAATTGAATATTTTCTGACTTTCTTTGGCTTTGAATCCCGCCACATTATGATGTAAAAAGTAGCATCCTACCTCCGTTAAAGTACAGAGTTAAGAGTACATTCGATGGAGTTTGTAAATAGACCCCAAACGGTTTTAAGTACGTCGAGTCCGTTCGTACACAGTTGAAGCCCGTTTTCGAGAACGTAGTAGAGACTAGTTTGGTGTGATAGTAGGGTTATTGAAAATAATTTTAAGATCATCAAATGTGTTTCAACAGTTTCCGTGAATCACATTGGTTAAATTTTGCACAATATCTAATTTTCCGGCATGTTTGTTTACTCTTGGAATTTCTTCAAAATTCAAAATTGAGAATAAATTATTCTATGGCATCAACAAAAATGTTAGACGTTTCTCCAGAAGATGTGATAATATGAGCCAATTCATGCATTTGGACCACCCTGTATTTAATTTTGATTTAACAAACATAACGTTGTCATCTATTGTTGCCATCTATTGCTGCTATCTATTGACAGTCATATATGACATTGTCTTGCAAAACTGAATACGATCATTTCTTGGTTGACTTCACAAAGTGGTTTTTGAGAGCTAATTGGTGCGGAGGGGTTTACAAAAAGCCAGGTGAATTTTGACATTTATTGTGTTTGAACATGGTAACTAGCAAATGCCAATTCTGAGTCACTTATCTAGAAATACCTTTCGATCATCATGGATGACGGCTTTATTTATTTGACAAGGAATATTCGAATTATTTGTCATTGGATATGATACGAGTTGAAACAACCATTGCATTACAAAAGTAATCGCTTTAAATAACGTCTGGAAATTCATTACGGAAAGTTCATAAAGATTGACATATAAGTTGACACATATAACAGCAAATTAAACCGGTAAGTAAAGAGTTATATAATCGAGAATATTTCCTGTTCATCTATACAACATCAAGCTTGTATTTTTCTCATTGTTTTATATGTCCTCAATGTTTGAGAAAAATTATAAGTAATAGAAACGTCTAACCCCGTTAGCGTTTTAGCTCATAATGATAGTTCACACGACAGTACATTAATTTATTCATTTTCCTAAAGGCAGATACAAATATGAAATATATCGTGGTTTTCTGTTGATCATTTTTTTTCGAAAATGTGTATTCGTTTCTTAAAAATAGAATGCTTTTGCTCAAATGAACAGTTTAAATAAAGTTTACATTTATATTTTTCATTCCATGTCCATTTTCACTTATGGCAGGAGACACACAACGTATTACTGCAGTCTGATGAACGCAAACGCTGGATTTGTCTGATTGTACAACTCCAAGGAATACCAGTAAATCAAAATGGAATCTTATCCTCCAAAATGGAGCATTATACTTTTGATATTGTTGCAACAGTTCTTGGAAATAGTGGGTAAGTCTCTAATGTGTTTTAAATAATTTTCAAATATATTGGCTTAGAAATAATTTTTCAGTGCATTAAAGACACATACAAATGTACATGCTATGCTGCTTCAATAAATGTCAAAAATGCCAATTGCCCCAAAAATCCAATTTTTACCAAAGTTATGCCAAACTGATCAAAATTATGCAACTTTTACAATGGTTATTCTCAAAGATACAGAAAACATACTATCGGCTGATTGGCCCCATCCAATTATTATTGGTTTCACGGGGTTCCTGCGGCTGGTGCTTACGACGTCGTCCTACTCCTCTTGTTAGCAGATGGCTAGGAATATAATAATACAGTGTATAATAATAACAGTAATAAAAACTCTATATTGTCCTTCATAAACCTGATAAATCTCGAAGAAGGAAGGATAAAGAAATACAAACTTGGATGACGGGTATGACAAAATCAATATGTCTCATTCTATGAAACAAAAAGGGTACTAACACCACACTCATCCATACAGGCATTGCCCCTTTATTTAATTTTAATCTAATTTAAAATTTCAAAAACTTATTGACCATTATTACCAATCATATAAATGGTATTCAGCTTATACAGAATTGTTCATGTATACTACCACAATCGTGATCAGACAAGTGAAGGTACCCATTATGCGCAGGTTGTTAGTCAGCGCATATCGATAACGCTTTTGGCCACAAATACGAGAGGTGTTTCAAAAGTTTTATTCTAATTGATGAAGGTCAATAAATTTACTCATATCATATATTTACTCATATTCATCACTTCTGAAAATACCAATGTCGAACTATTAAATACTATTTTACGCAAATACGTAAAAAATGTTTCTGGATTCTTTTATGGCCCCTTTATATTGTCTGCCTCTTCCAGGACTATATGGACAAGAGGACGGTCTTTGGGTGCTGGATTTTACATCTGTTTTTAACATCACTGAGATAGACGGGATCTTAGAAGAACTAAAGCACATCAACTTTACGCGAGGACCCCAGGGGCCTATAGGGCCAACGGGTCTGAGTTAGTTATCTCTCCTTCTAAGCATGCTTTTGTAGTCTAGAGTTGCAAAATACATTTGGGTGCCAACCTTAATGCTTATTTCTTACTCTTATTAGTATTTGGGAAAGTCAGGTCATTGTATAAATGTTGAGTTTCTTTTAGTTCATGGAATTATTTGGAAGTATATTGCTTCCAAGTATTTTAGCTTTTCATTTTCCTCTATAATATTTTTCATACATTACAATGACTTTATTTTCGCTTACATTAGCTTAAGATCTAGAGTAGACGGACGTTTAGGTTTCGTTCATATCATAAAATGTACAATAGCAGGTCGAACTGAAAACAATTTTCCCTAGGTGTTTGAGAATTAGACTTTATGTTGATTTTCAGGTCAGGACGATTGTCCATGTGTTGGGCTCCAGAGTAGGGAATTGATGATCGCACTACTTGCTTGGGCCGGTTTACTCACTCTCGTAATCCTAGTAATATTTCTATGTGCATGGTGTAAATGCGACAAGAAAAGGAGGTCCCAACAGAGGAGGAATAATCTATTACATCACTATCCTCACAGAGGTCTTACTTTGATGAAGAAAGTAGAGGACGATTCTTCATCTCATTATTCAAACCCAGCAAGTGAAACATTTCCCACTGCTTCGTAGCAATTTAGTCCTAGTAGAGATGACAAAGACAGAAATAAATTAAGAACACTATTTTGATAAGACTGGATGTGTAGACGAACTCTCATTTTCAAATTTCAATTTCCTAACTTTAAACCATAGACGTCGCGTTTCGTTTATCTACCGTGGTCAGTGGTCACAGGGCCGCAATCATGGCAAATATAATGCATCGTGGTGCATCATATTTACGAACGTGCTGTATACATAATATTCAAAACTTAATAAAAAGTAATAAGACAATTATGTATATATCACAACAATATACTTTTATAGAAATAACTAAAAAATATACTTTGTTATTTTGTAATTTTTAAATGAACCCACTGTTGTGGTTGTGAATCGTATGTTGGGTAATATGATGATGACGGTTCAACTTTCATGATATTTCAGGCTTTACCTTGGACGAATTTGAAGTTCATTTAATTGTTTTGTTTATAAATGCAAACCTTTGGGTATCAGACACCATCAATTAGCTTCTAGTATTGTTATAATTAAGCGTCGGTGCCCCTAAACAATACCCTATTAATAAACTCCCGATCGAACAATCCCAGAATTCCGAGAACACCTGCGAAAGTCAGTGATCTGATTGGTCAAATCAAATCACATGACATAATACAGACTGAAGTGTGATGGGAATGATACGTCCCCGTAAACAATACTATCATTTTCTCATGCGAAAGTAAAACATATTTTATTTCCAAGAAGTTTTTGGCAATATCAACGCACTTTATAATAAACGCCATAAAAGTCATCAAAGATGTAAGAAATTATGTTTTGTACTGTAACATTGGCGTGGTCAGGACTAATCACTGTACATCACAGAAACCTTGCCAAGAAAACTTTCTCGTTTTATCACGAAATACAAATCCCAGACTAAAACGACTAAACTGAGTAAACAGACGATTGCTTGTTTAGGGATTTTATCGAAAAAATAAAATACCAAACACCAAATGCGCAGCTCATACAAATAGATAATTAAATGATGATTAATATGGACGAACTGAGTGAACTAAGGAGCGGAACATAATTGACAACGTATAATAAGACGGAATAAGACGGAACAATAAACGTTGGTATTGCGCACAACCAGGTAACGATAAAGTTTTTTAAAGTAAAAAATTTATGTATTTCTACAGACAACTTTTAAAAGTGATTTCAGATATGTTCTTAAGATTTCGAAATAAATATCAACTCACAAATGCCTAAATAAGTTATCAACCAGACTGCGAATTATTCTTGCTTTTAATTTTTTTATTAAAATTTCAATTTTTATAATGCCTGAAACGTCGTAGTTTGTTCTGTTGCGATTTTCTGTTGTTGTCCTTTGTGAGTTTGACATCATCAGAATGAGAAATATACTGACCTATCAAGTCGCAATTTAATTTATAAGTTATATTTAGCTCCGGGACATTGAATTAAAATCAATGGTTGAATATCATAATGAAGCACAGGCAAGGGACAAGAGATCAGTTTGATACAACTCTGAACAAAAAATGATATCACCGTATCAATATAATATGAAACAATCGATGGCTGATGGCTGATACCTCAGTCACATTTGATCTTGAACAACATAGCGGCCGTAGCTTTCCAAAATCGAGAGAAATATGGAGCATAAAATATAGGGATAAACAGTTCAATGTGGATTTTCTATATCGATTTTTTGAAGCTATGGCCGCCGTATAGCCCTCTAAGAACAAATCTGACTGAGGCTTAAATTGTGGCAACAATTGTATGCTCAATTTCAGATATACTAAAGATGAAGTTCCATGTCCTATGCCCTTTGCTTATCATTCTAAGTTGGGTATCGCAATTAGTGGAAAGTAGCACATACGTACTGGGCAACAAACTGGAATTCGGAAACAGGACACTGGCGAACGCAGGTAAGCGATCGTTCCTGCATCAGAACAGCCAAATCGTGATAGATGGCACCCTCATCAGTTTCCAGTTGTATACCAGCAACACCAATCGCGTAAGACTACAGGCGTGGAGACCGGCCAGCATCACTCCATCAAATACTGATTACGTGCTTATAGGAGAGCAAGTATACGAGCCAGACGCAGTCAGAGGCATAAAAGTGGTATGTTTTGGTAGTCTTAAAATTATCTTGAATAAAAAAATAACTAGGAAGGCCTACTTTCTATCAATGTCCTAAGTGGAATATAACTATACAAAAATTAAACATTAAATCGACATAAACAGCCGTGCTCGTATTCTAAAATGGCGAAAAGCGTTTCTGTCACCAATGTTTTAACGTCGAAGTATTGTATAAAATTTATATATAAAATGGCGGAAAACGTTTCTTTACTAATTTTTTTATAGATTGACCTGAAGCCATATGAACGATTCGAAGTAAAGCGGGGCGATCGTCTGGGTTTTACCAATGAGGATGAAGAGGGTCCCATCACCTACAAGTTCATCAGTAAGGATATTGTACTTTTGATACTTCTTAGCTAGACACGGAGTAACAGTGAGATATTGTATTTCTAATGGTCATTGTTCGTTGATTGTTCGAGGGTTGTTCGATAATCTCAAAGTAAACGCTCTCATTATTCTTTATAATCTGACGATTCTCCCCTATCAAAAAATCGTCCATACGTGTACATGTACAATGTGTTACTATACGAGTAAAACATTGAAAATGTTGGAACGAAAAAGTCTGCAAGACTTGAGTGGAATAAGAATGCAGAGTATGTTTACATCATAGAGACCAATGAGATTGCTTCAATTTCACCATCATTGAATAAGTACATATTGATATATTTCAGATAGCAGTAATAAGAATCCTTTACTGAGTACAAAAGAATATCCAGATGAGTCGGGCCTTCCAACCATAGATTCAACCCAGACATTCGACAGATTGCATTATCCATACCAGTTTTCCCTCTCTGCTACTATCAGCACAGGTAACCCAACAACTTGCATTTGGAAGTATTTTCAAAATGATCAGAGACATTTTTATTTGAGAATTTTTCATAAATATTTCTCGATTTCGGGAATCTACGTTTACAATGTGAAAAAATGAAAATTTAGCGACACATTTATAAAGCTTTGACGACTTATGAATTACAAATGCCGAAATGGGCTCTAAACGTGCATACGTAGAAATGCTTTTATATTTTATCTTTGAAGATTTTTCTCAACACATTATATGTTCGTTTCAGACAAACTTCCAAATGAAATACCGGGTCCCGTGGTAAGTAATAATGTATATAGTAAGCGATATGTTCATCAAGATATTTATCGCATTTATCGCATATTTCCTAAATAACTGTGGACCTTCCGTTTTGCTTTCTTGAAGATTTTTTCCAATTTTGAGATAGAAGGTAACATTAGGTGGAATAGAATAAAGATTTGTTTTAATCCGAATGTATATTTGTGACTGTATTTAGTATTCTAAAATATTCATGCATTCTAAAATATAACATGCAGCATGGACACATAGCCCATATGGCACTGATGTATGAGAGCAAATGAATAACATCCTCCGAACGCAGTGCTCAGACATCGTCCACTGCGTTCCTTCCTTCTTCCAGAAGAAGGAGGTACAAGTTCAGGAAACCGTGTTCGGAGGATGATAAATAAGGAAAAAATATATCTATATTCATATTATGTCACTAGGGACCACCAGGTAGTGCAGGATTGCCGGGGAAAGACATAGATGGAGGTCCAGTCACAGGTATGTATCTATTAAGTAAAAAAGTATTTACTAGTCAGTAACAATATAGCCTACGACATACAAAAATGGGTCGGAACTAATTTGATTGGATGTATTTATTTGGGTGCTTTTGACAAAATTAGATCCGATAAAAACATTAAATTATTAAATTCGACGTCAAATAAAAGGAAATCAGGCTTGCTTAAGACAGCTATCATGATAACTGAACCTTTTGGGTGGTTAATGGAAGCAACATGGCTTCATTTTTTGCTATTATATTCGGAACTGCTATATGCAAAATACAAAAACGGTATAAAATGCGCTAATCTGCATGCTCTTGTTTCAATTTCAGCACGTCAATTTGACGAACAGACATGTGGTCTCGCTTTTATGAATCAAAGTATGGTGATTGGCTTTATTGCTTGGCTTTTGGTTCTTTCCTTCTTAATGACTATTACTCTTATGATATTCTGTTGTATGCATTGTGGACAACCTGAGTCCACAAAGGAACATGACAAACGTCCATTTTTCAATGCGGTTGATGATAGTCCTACCGGATCACGCTACAGAGGAACAAAACCCAAGAAGAATAACCAAAATGGCGGAACCAAGAAGAGGCCTCCCGGTTCGTACAACCATGAAACACTTCCTATCCATATGGCTGGTGAGAGGGTTCGGGATGAAACCTTGGCTGATTATAGTATATCTGTTATTCAGGATACACCTGGCCCATCGCATGGAGTTGTATTTGAACAGAGGCTTGCGGGACCTGATGACTGAGTCTTGGATATATTCTTGTTTAATATAGAGAATCAATGATCAATTCATTCTTTTCAGGTATTGTGGGGTATCAAAAAATTGTAGCATACAGTTTACTCTATAGTTTTAGTTTTCATTTCACTTTGTGTATATTATTCCCTCTGTGACTTCAGCTGCGTCTCTTAAACCCTGCCTCTGTGGGAAAGGCCTTTTGAGTCGTGATGTCATACTCGGAGTGATCGTCTGGCTTATTTTTCTGTCCCTCATAGCACTTTTAGTGATATTTATCCTTTGCTATTTGTGCTCAAAATCTCATTCTCGCGAGAGTATAAAATCACGATCTACAACACAGACCAGATTTGCTTCCGAAAATGCTCATACAACCAACCCTCGCATACAGAACTATCAACCCTCAAATGACAGTAGAGGAATGGTTGTAAGCCATGTAAGATCACGTGACAATGATGGTTATGAGGCTGATCCGATTAGACATAGAAGCGTGGAATCTCTGCGTGGAGAGGTCACAGCTGATTATACAATTTCTAGGATCACTCCACAAGCAGCCCACTCTAACGATGACTGGCCAACATAAAAAATTGTAGTCTACAGGATGGTCCAAAAACGGGACACTCGTATTTCAAAAAGCATAGTTAGGCCTATATATATTGACGGTCTGTACATTCAATGATAACACCTTGACATTGTGGTTATTTCATAGTCCGTTTTGCCTATGTCTATATTGACAGATCGAAATGTTGTGAGGTACAATACTGGAAGAAATTCCTACTTGTAATATGAAAGAGCTAGATAATAATGTAACGTAACTAACAATTCAGGAGTACGAAGAATAAATAAGTGAAACTGCAGTTCCCTATTGCATTATGCTAATGTGTACATGCATATGTAAATATCTCGAGTGCTTGCAATGTACATACTATGTAATAGAAATAAAAAATATGCCAACTTTCACAGGTTGTTTCCAAATTTTTCCGCCATAAAGGGCAACATTTGAAGATCAGACCTTCCCATCGAACACATTCTTAAAAGCTCCATGCAAAAGTTTGAAATTATGATCTAATCATTAAAATATTTCTTTTCAAGACTTGGACAATTATTTAAGAATTGATTTATATATTTGAATTTCCCACCATTTTAGAAACAAGTTTCCATTTTTAGATCATCAAATACAACACTAAAATTATAAAACACATGATCACCATCTTGCGCCGAGGTCTATTCTCAGGGTATTGGGACTAGCGTTAGGCTTATATTTTACTACAGAGTGGCTCAGTAAAAATCTTATAAGTATAAAAGATCAATATTTATATCATAGCAGATTCAAAGTCCCTCCATAGTTGACTACGCCAACTTCTTAGTGGTTGAGCATGTCGTGCCTTTCCTGGCATCTTGGCAATCTTTGTCAACAAGTTTGGGATTTTTTATAATATTAGACGCGTGTCATTGATACTCACGGGATGTTAATTACATGTCATGTGCATCATACTTTGATGTAGAAAAATATAATTTATATGTTGAAAGTACCAAAGAGAAGTTATCTTGAAAATGAGGAAGTCCTTATCGAGAGAAAATAGATAAAAATGCGCATTCAAAATATAAACGTTATGCCGTACCGGGTCCAGCTTATGCATCCATACCGGTCCACTTTCGCTGGCTTCGTATACCGAGGGTGATAACATTTGTCTTTTGTCTTAGGAGACCCTTGGCCATTATTTTTCCTTATACCCAAGATCCATCGTTTATCCATAACGTTGTACAACCTCTTAATAGTACAATAACGTCATTTCAAAGGGCAATATAGTGAAGTATTGGACCAAGGGCCGCAGGCCCAAGGTCCAATATTACACTATTTTGCCCGCAGAAATGACGTTATTACTATTATTACCACCGTTAATGCCCAGGGCTGAAATAGCAAATTTGAAATAGATAGAGATTATCCTATATGAGGTTCAGGATATTGGGATTATCCCGAGGCCAATATAATATATCTGCCCGAGGGCCGTAGGTCCCGAGGGTAGATATATTATATTGGCCAAGGGATAATCCCAATATCCTGAACCGACTATAGGATGATCTGTTTATCCCATACCAATCACTTTGTTCAATTTGCCAAAGTTCAGAAACTTTGCAACCAACCGTGGAATATTCTTAAAATATTCATGTCCACTTTTGTATTCCTGTTTCTTTTCCTGTTCAAATCTTTGATTATTAACGCCGGTGCACTGCTCCTTCCCTTCTTTAAAGCATCAAACAGGTCGAGATTGTCTGCGTTTTTCTCCATTGTCGTTTACAGTATGCGAACGTTACAAAAAAATAACCAATAGGGGAACAGCGATTATGACGTAGCGGGCAGATATACTATATCTGCCCGCTCGGAGCGGGACGTAAAGCTATATCTGCCCGCTGATGAAAATATAAGTTTTTACAAACCGGCTTTATGTACCCGTAACACGTCCAAGTATGGGATAAAAAATCTTACGCACTGAACGATATCACTTTTCCCGGGAAACATAGCCGGGCGGATAATGTCATTATTGCCCGACTAAAGTCATTAACGCCCGACACAATATTGCTCACGTCAATATAGCAATTTAAATGCCTTCTCAACTAGTACTAAAACCCCTAGAACAGGCCCTGCAAGGTGGCAATAATAGGTTGTTTGAGTTTGAGTTTATGCATTGAATGGATTCGTCAAAATTGAGCCACTCAAATTCCTTATATTACCCCGTGCCGTTACCATCATTCACCGCGATAAATATCATTCACTAAACTTTAAATAGTGACAACAAACATTTCTTAATTCGATCTGCATAGAAATCAAGTGGTTGAACACAACCATGGCCATTGATGCGATGAATGATGCCATGTGATGATGCACGAAATTGTTGAATTTACACATTCTTCATCAAGTTTGCTTATAACTGTAATTGGTTGTAAATGTATAAAATTAGTCATTTTTTCTTGGTCTTATATATAATGTTTAATTTTACTATTTTGTCACTCTTATTGGTGGATCATGCTAGGAATTATTGGTTATGACATATACATGTACATGGTGTTTCATAATGACTGTCCATCAACCCATCAACCACCAATCCTAAATAGCATACCCCCATATGTTATATATCATATAAAAGCTTGCTTGTTCAATTCTGGACTTATTGAAACAACTTGATTAAGCTCAACAGTTTTTACAACTTGCTACATATCTCTGTAAAGGGTACCCATTTTACATTTAGGATAGAATCTGAAAGCCACATGTTTTCCAAAATAATCCATGTGCCCTGCAAACAGTTATGATAATCACGCCTCAATAAGCTATAATAATGTACAACTTCTATCATTTGGTGAATGCTGAGGATATATTTTAATTAAATTTGAAAGACAAAAAGTACTGAATATTCTAAATGCCCAGAGAATACTATCAAGAATAAGCTAGGTCGATGCATTTGCAAGATAGAGCCTTCGTTTTGACACATTTTTACTGGATTGTGCGGTGAAATGTGCGGAAAACAGCGTTTCTTGCAGGAGAGTGCTGTTTGATTACTACCTTTGACAATATTCTCCATCTAACATACATTGGACGATGGAACCGTACCCACCAGCGAGGCCATTTGTTCCACTCGTGTTGTACCTAACCACGCGCATTCAACTGCCAAGTGTAACCTAATAACGCAGATGCGAGTAGGTAGTTACCAGTTTGACCACCAGGTGCCTCGTTCGGGTCAGATAGCATGGCGGGTATAGGAGAAAGTTTTCTTTAACTTAAATTACATCTATTTTAGTGGTTCAATTTTCATATAACCCTTGTGTATCTCATAGTTATGCAAATTAAAATATGTCCAGTAAAAGAAAATGGTATTTGTCAAATAAAAGAAAAGATATTTCACATTTTGTGATTTTGTAACATGGGGTCTATAGGGAATCAACCCGAACTAGAAGTCGCATTTTCAAAAAAAATTATATTTTCAAAGTTGATAAACCATATTTCGAGATGTACTTTTACATGTAGATTTCAAATATGACATCACTTTGACTGAATTTTGAATATCTAATGACGTTAGTCAATATTACTTCTACTCGCATCTAGTCTATTGGTTCAGGTACACACTCTGTGTAGAACCACGAGTAGAAAAAAGTGTGCTAGTATTTTTTAGAAAATAAAACATTATGGCAAATTGGGCCACCCCTTTGTTAAATGTACGGTGGTAAACATTTTGAAGGGGTAGGGGAAAATTCCAGGGGTGTGTCCAGGCATGGACCTCAAAATATAGGTCCATGATCCATGCCAAAGTCGAGGGCGGTGAATTCATCCATACCATATCCATATTTTCCCAAGAAGTGTATACTGTACCATGGTTTGTACGGATGAGGTGTTACTGACATCATATGGTAAAGGGTAGGCGGTAAAAAGATTCTAGGAGGAAGGGCAATGCATTGGCCATTGCATCCATACAAGATAAGGAAGGGGGTCAAAATACTCGGAGCACGACTAACATATTATACTGAAAATGTTCATATTGAAAAAGATAAATTGCAACTATTATTTTATTATTCAAGTAGAATGGAGGTGAAGTGTATACATTTGAAAGACAGGAAGACGGCGGTGACCTCGCTCCAATTATCTAGCTGCGGATTCATGATTTATATCCAGCGCCTGCAATCACGGCCGTTTTCAAATCATCATTTGCCGTATCCAGCTGATACTGGTAAGACATATTCTCCACACGATCCGGTTGGTTGGTCTTACCACTAATACCAGTATTGTAGTAATTTCCCTCCGCTCTTAGGTACCCATTTCTCGTATCGTCGCCACGTGCTACGGTCGTATGCGCCTCTGCAGCGCGGCTCCTCTCAGAAGTCTGAAAGTAGTTGTTTTCGACAAGCACTTTGCCTCTTTGGCTTGAACCAACGGCGTATGATCCCCAATTTTTGAAGACGTTATTATAGACATGAACAGTAGCGTATCGGACCCTTGGCGTCCTTTGATGACAATTGTTAAAGAAGTTATGGTGGATTGTGACACGCATGTTTCTATCGTCAACATCATTTTTATTGGCGCCTATCAACATCGTTTTATCGTGATCTTTGAATTTGCAATTTGACACGGTCACGTGACTGTACCCTTTAGTGATGTCAAGCAAGCCGTCACCATAGTTCCGGAATGAACATCGATGGACCCAAGAATTTGCGTCTCCCCCTGACAACCTCAAGGCATCTTTAGGTCCCGTGTCAAAGTTAATTCTATGAACAATAGATTTGCCATTGAGCTCGATTGCCTCACCGGTCAGGGTGATTTCATGGCCAGAACCGTCAAGAATCAAACCCTGACTAGGACGTATAGAGGAGGACATGGTGATCGTTCCAGAGCCCGTGAATGTGACATGGACGTAGCTACCTTGGTTTATGCAGGAGCGAAGTCCATTGTAGTTGGGCGGTGACTCGCAGCGCTGGTGACGATATTCCGTGGCTGCACAACCAAATCCGACACATTCGCTGAACCAGCTCGGGGCTTGTCCAATGACGTTCTAAAAATAAAATAACAATTGAATGATGAAATCATATATCAAAGGTCAGATACCAAGTTACTTAGTTGATGACTAGGTTGTAGGTTCCTACGCCAACTGTATGTAAGTTACCAAGTTAGCTACTAAGTCACTTACCAAGTTGGGAACCAAACTAGTTACCCAGTTGGTTACTAAGTTAGTTACTAAGATGGTTAGTTTATTTAATTTCAAATCTCATTTTCTCTTTAGTGTCTTTAATTTGAGTCCCAATAACGGATTTGAAAAATCATCTTTTTGACATTTCGAAGGTCACTAAGGTCAAATCTCAAATGTAGGGTCAGATATGAGCTTCGCGTAAATTGAGGATGTTTTTTTAAAAATGATTTGTTCAATTTGAAGCAAGTTAAAAGTTGAGTAGAAAAGCAACAGCGATTGAGAAACTTTATTAAAGTCTATATTTTGTGTAAAATGAATAAAGAATTAAGAAAAATATTTCTTGTTGGGTCCGGAGACCTTTAAAGAGGATAGGGGTTAGAATGAAAATATTTAAGATATTTTGCACCCCTCTTGATGAATCCCAATTTACTTTTCTTTGAATGAATGTTTTTGATTTATCTGTCCAGGAATATGTAAACATACTTTTGTTCATTCAATATATACCATTCATTTAAATATGTACTTATTAAAAGTCCATAAAGCTTTAAATGAAATGACACTTCATGCTGAGTCTGGGTGACACTTTTATTCACTGGAGGTGAAACTCTTTTGAGTGTTTTCACATAGCGCATAACACTGAATAGAAAAAAGTCGTTTAAAAAAGGAATGTAGTCCCAACACATGACGTGATCATGACGAGTCAGAAAGCTAGTATGTAGGTTCAGTTGTCATCTTTTTGCAATGACAACATGCCATTTCTTCTGAAAATGCGTTTATTTGGGTTATCTGAAGGAAAATTTCGAGTCAAGTGGCGTATTAATTTTGCCTTGATTTTTGTGGATTTCAATTTCTGACCGGCAGAGAGAGGGGGTAGTTTCACAATTGATCAATTATTTCAAAAAGTAGATGTTTGGCCCCTATTGAGTTTAGTGTCAAAATGTAGCTTATACATAGCTTCAGAACCTCAGATAGACCACATATATAAATCCATAACTCGAGATAAAAAGTCAGGCGTTTGCCCTTTTGCCCATCGACTAGTATGGTGACGTGAATTAGGGCAGTTTGGCCATTGACTGAACCGTCCTTCAACTAGTACTGAACTGCTTTTTTCATTTTATATGTATACCTACATATCTCTAAGACGTTTTAGGAAAACAGGTGTAAACTCTTGGAATGCTGCGCGTCTTGGAATGCTGCGCGTAGTGTAAATTGGGCTATTATAAGCGTATGTCATCTTTGAACCCTGGAGTTTCTCCCTGGGGTTTGAACCTCTTGATCCACTTGCAAAATATATATAACCCGAACACCGTCCACAAAATAGTTGGAGACTACAACAATATGTCACCACTTCTGGTGGTGGCATAAAAACGTGAACTATTTATCTTTCACGTTTGTAAATCTTAAAGTGATAGAATCTATTGCTAGTATTTTCAACATGTATGTAGGTTTGATTTTATTGCTTCTGTTATACAAAATATAGTATTACATGCATTTATTGGATCATCATACTCCAGATTGAAATAGTTTTGATTGTATATTTGTTCCAGAACACTTATTTGCAGCAGATAATGGTAACCTATAAGTGTTAATCGACTTCATTAATATACAAGTAGTACGGTATACACATATGTTTTGTTTACATTAATACAAAATCAGATGCAGCGTGTCCCATATGTTTCAATAATTTTGCTTTATTCTCTTAGTAAAAGTAATGATATCACTACCGAACGTAGATGTGATATACAGCTTTTATTTGCTACACAATATTTGTATAGAAATAAATATTGTCTCAGCTGCTGTTGCCATGGTAACCCCCGGCGAGTGTCTGCGGAGTCATTCGACTTAGGAGAACTTATGGCATCCATACAAGGATCAATCGCCAGAAATTTTCCAAATAGGTTCCGCCATCCGTTTGAGGAATGGGTAGTGAAACAGTCGAGATATATATACGTATAGACCATGATTGATGGACAGTATTTTGAACATCTATACACTTGAGATACTGTTAGTAGAATAAGTAGGAGGAAGTAAAAACAATTGAGAACATTCAAACAAAACAAATCCTTTTTGCGTGCTCCGCGTCCCCCCCCGACCCTTGTTACTAAAGCAACTATAACCTTTTTCCTCAAGGACCTATTCATCATAATTTAAGATTCAAACGTATAAACAATGTTACGTATTACTTTTGCACGAACTTAATGAACGCAATCTCTAAGACGTTTTAGAAAAACAGGTTTAAACTCGTAAGATGTCCTGAAAATGGTGGTGTAAACTCAACATGATTTTTTTAAACATTTTAGCCAAGACATCTTGGAATGTTGCGTGTAGTGTAATATAATTTCAGCGATTTTAATACATATTATATATTATTATATATTGAAACATTCAAAGCGTTACGCCAAAATTTGATTGGTTTTTAGCAAAATTATTAAAACATATGAGACACTCTGTAATTAATCAAATGAGTGCTACTAGTACATATGTGGTCAACACACACCTTATCAATTAATATTTCATGACATTTTGAAGGTCAACATGTTCAAATGATTGGTACCGATATAGTGAACTAACGCCTGGGTCACATCGACTCACATCGCGATTCATTGCTGCGATTCATCGACTGGAACCGACCGATTGAGTATTTTGTTCAAAACTGAATGCAATTTTGGACAAAATACTCAATTGTCCGGATGTCGGCCGATGAATTGGAGCAAACGTGACCCTTCAGTGCAAATTAATTTGTATAGTTTTTTTTTACATATGCACATGTAGCATGGATAAATGATTAATATGAGTATGATTAGGTTATTGGCAATATAAGTGTATGTTTTGTAATGTTGCCCTTTGTATACTTAAGTTTGACTCACAAAAAGCCAGAAACTACAAAAAGCTGAACTTTTATCATTCAAACCTGTTTTACATGGAAGCATTGTCAAAATAAAACTGCTTTTAAACATTCGGACACTCTATTCTTTAAATTATTATATAATAATAGAAAGATGCGACTATTTTCTTTAGAAGTAGTTCTTGAAATTCCTAACTTCACGCTATAAAGTCCTTGAAAGTTGTTTTAAACACGAATCAATCTCAGTCATCTCACTCTGCGTCTCAATCCAGTATATCTGGTGAAATACGATAAAAGCATGATTTTAATCAGTTATACAATATTTATAAGCAAAATGGGTGATAATAGAAAACATTATAATCTGAAAATAATGGAACGATAAAATGGCAAAATTAGGAACAAATTACTTTGAGGTCATGGGTGAAATGGCAGTAAGTCGATTCATTATCCGAGATGGTAAACCTCGATATGTACATGAATTAATCATAATTCCGAGAGTCTATTATACCTACTAAAAGTTTTAAGCCAACCATTCACTGATATTGATCGACTTTAAGTGCATGAATCACAGAAATACAACAAGGTTCTCCCTAGAGTAAATTAGTATCGATATTTGCGGCAGTGAGTTTCATAACCTGATAGACCGGAAAATCAAAGACAACATTAAATGTAGCGTGAGCTGTTGTATCCCAAATGAGCAACAATATTTATCATTAATCCAGATAAACGGAATGACAAAATAATGGATAACAGACTCCCGGGAACAGACCTGGCGAATATAACGCCATAACGAGTACTTTGTAATTCGTGACAATGTATAGTAATTCAGTAATGAACGTGAAAAAGAAGTTGGAATTTTCAGATATGGATTTGATTTTGGTAGCGGTGCTTTTCATCACTACAATCGGTAAGTAAAGTAAAGCAAAGTAGATTGGTGTCTCTTCATCTAATAAGGCATCTTGGAATCTTGATTCAAAGAAAAAAAACTTTTTCTAAGAGCCAGGGCGTGGCCCATGTAAGAGTCCACAAAGTCTATGATGTTCAATATTGAGTCCAATGACGAAATTGTTTATATCACTATTATGGTAGCCTTGATAACGGATCCTTATTCAAAAAAATATCAATTGCATAAACAATATAAACAAAAAATAATTGTCTAATACTCTTACTGTTTCAGATGCTACAATGGTGGACATTGGCAATGAGATTGTCACAAATATGAGCATTATCCTAGATAGACCGTTAGATACAAAGCCCTTTCTGGATAATAATCTATTTTTCAACACAAGTGGTCATATAGTTTCTTTCTATGCAATACTCCACAACACAAATGCAATTCACTTCCAAATATGGCGTCCCAGGGATGACCGAAATGAGTCTTATCAGCTAGTGGGCGAGATGAGGCATGTGCCAGTTGAAGCAGGATCCCATCTTCAACATGTAAGTACATGCGTTTGTGAGTGGCGCTTTGATTGATGAAGAAAACACGAAATTCAACAAAATAGAGGACAAAATGAAAGCAATAATGCCAATAATGTCAGGACCACGTCGTCCTCACAATACCTCAAAGCAAAACGAAAATGCACTGAAGTCAAAAATCCTTTTAATCAAATAGATATTGCAATGTGACATGATCATTGCATAGTTCATATAATACCAAGTTATACCTGAGACCATAAAAGCTATGTTTAGTCTTATATAATTACATGGTCTGTTAACAATCTTTAACCGATTAAAACCCTTGAAGTTGACCGATCAATGTTCAAGCTAGAGAGTGACACGACTCGTTCAGACGCACCTGAGAGTGTGATAAGAAATCACAAGGGAAAATATCATGAAACGGCAATAGGCCAAAAAACAAGTGTTTAATCTATTGTATTTACAAACGAGGAAACCTCCCAATAAAAATGGTGCATGATTTACTCGTAAAAGGAGGAACACCTTACTTCTGCATTTTAAACTCATTCATTGGATTGATTAGCACATAACTTAAACCTGAAAATGACACAGATATCTAAATTAAACATCAAATGAGATGAGAAGATACAAAATATCACATTGTACATTTCACAATAATGATTGTTTATTTTCCAGATTCAACTTACCCCGTGTGAATATATAAAAGTAAAATATGGGGATAGGCTGGGGTTTTCTTATGCGAAGGACAGTGGACCCTTAACCTACCTATTTCTCACATCTCCTGGTCAGTCATCACTATACCAATCAAGGGATAGACTCAAGACGCGACCACTAGAGGGTGACAAGGTCAAGTTTGACAAACTTCCAAACCCTTTCAAGTTTAATTTTGGGGCAAGAGTTGATACAGGTATGTCTTTAATATACAATTAATGTCTGCGCCAATATACAGTTTTTAGGCCTACATATGCACTATTCTGGACATTAATGAGCAAAACGGATGCTTTTAAAAGTTTGCAATTCGTTTTACTTACAGCAATCTTTGCCATGCCTGGTTTCTAGAAGTCGCGAGGTTATGCGGCTATAATTTGAAAGGGATTCAGCTTTCCATTCTCATTTAATTGGATGTATTTGTATTTTGAATGTCCATCTCCACATTTGGTCAGTTACCTCACAAAGCTTCGTTTAGATATATTTGGGAAACCAAAGGTCAAAATTATTGACACTTTTACTTTTTTTACTTTCAACATTTTGCGCTCTGTCCGTTGCTGTTGCATTGCGAATAATACGATATATAGGCATAAATAGTTGAATATTCACTTCCGGTCCAACATATTGGATGACGTTTAACGTAAGTTACCGATGCCCAGAATGAGACATGAACCAGTGGTCTACCGTTTGATATAACTTGATATAATAATACACAACTTCCTTTTTGAAATGCTCTCAAGATGATATAATATATCTTTTGAATAGAATATAGATTTTCGTTATCAATTACCTACTTCATTATTTTTCCATTTCCACGCTGCCACAGAATGCTTCTGTAAGTACCCTTTACCATACTCTCATCGTATCCTCTTTCACAGTGTAATAACATTATAAACGGAAATAGAATATTTTTAGTTTCAGTAAAGGGTTATCCTAAAATAAAAATTGGTCAACTAATGTAATTTGATCTGACGTAATACACCATACATGGTGCATAATGACAGGGAAACACAGAACTTGGTGTGATTTCATTCAGAAAATATGAAAACCAAACACGTTACAACTGTTTGTTCTGATGTTATGATAATAAAGTCCACATCCTGAAAACTTATGTCAGCAGGTGTACACAGTCTTCCACAACGCCCCTTACTACTGATGGGTTATAAACATGTGTATTGTTCACTTTGAGTCTCGTAATCGGTAGACTTGTCAAAGTAAGAGTTTTGGTATCACTTCTGAGTTCTCTCAAATTCCAGGAAGGTATATCTTTCAGAAACAAATATAAACCTCGCCACGGTAAGTGTGTACACGCATTCAGAAATATGTATTTTAGTATACTTTTTTTCTTTTCAGATGCTCCAGCCGGTCCACAGGTAATTCATACAAAAGATTAAATTGCAAATTATGAATACATATTCTATCTATCGATTCGATAATTTGCTTGCTCAAATGAACGAAGATTTTGCTTATATCTGTATATGTGGTAGTCATACTCTAGTAAAACACAATAGTCTAGATGCGAGTAGAAATAATCGTGATTTACGTCATTAAAAATTCAATTCGGTCAAACTGATATCATATTTGGAATCTACATGTAAAATCACACTTAGAAATGTGGTTTTGAAAAGAGTTAATCAACTTTGAAAATTTAATTTTCTTTGAAAATGTGACATCTAGGTCGGGGAGATTTCCCATAGACCCCATATTGTAAAATATCTTTTCTGGTGTTGGGCAGATATTTTCTTTCACTGGACATATTTTAATTTGTATAACTATCACATACATAAGGGTAATGTGAAAAGTGAACCACTAAAACTGATGAATATTCAAGTTTAAGGGAATTTTGTAATACCCTGCCATGTTATTTCCCCCGAATCAACCACCTGGTGGCGAAACTGGTAACTACCTACTCGCATCTGAGTAATTGATATGACCGAGAATCAATGATTTGACGAGTGTTCAGCTTCAGACCATATAAGGCCATGTCACTCTTGACAAAATATATTACTAAGAATTTAATTGACCAAGAACATATGTACTCTGTTCAAAAATGTGATTACTGATTTATTGATTATATTTTAAATGGTTGCTAAGGAAACGGGTATTTTAGAAATGTTAGCCCAAAATTGAAACGTATACGGTACAAGTGGATTTGTAATATAAAGTTGAAGTCCAAGCGTTACAACGGTACCTCATTTGTCTTAATTATTCTCTTTTATGTATAATAATCACATTTTCAGACCTCCATTCTACTAACATGAATTGTCCATTGAATTTTCCGATTACAGGGTCCTGCCGGTCCCAGAGGTTTAGCTGGGGCAGCTGGGACAAATGGTAGAGATGGCAGCGACGGGCTACCTGGTCCACCGGGCCCCCGCGGTAGTGCTGACCCTGAAGGTATGTATTTGGTCTGTGATAATCAGACTTCTTGTACTTTTTACTCATTGTATTTAAAAACTCTCATCCAAATGTTTGCCAGCCTCTACTGTCATATTTTGGAACATTCGAACAAAGTCTAGTACTTTGTTATCAACTTTTTCCACGTGTTCCTAAGCTTCCTAAGTTAAAACATTTCATTCGATCAAATACCACATTTCTTACACGAAAAGGAAAGGATAGTAGCCAGGATTTTCCAAGGGGGGCTGACTTTTTGAAAAATTCCAGGGGGGTTCACTTGTGACAATTTTGGTCCAAAAATGGCCAAAATCACTTAAAAGTGCTCAGAATGGTGAATGGTGAACGATTTTTTGGCCGGGGGGGGGGGCTCGAACCCATCGAACCCCTCCCCCCGGCGACGGGCCTGGGGAATAAAAAGGTATAATATACCTAATGTTTTCAGGGGAATTTTTGGGGTTTATTGCTCATGAAACTGGGTAAAACTTTATTTCATATCGCCACAAAATCAAAAAAATCAATTTATACGTTACAGTAGTAAATGTAACTGCTAAAATGACCATATAATTTCCCCAACAGCCATAGAAATAATAGACCGTACGGTCGTCGTAGTAATATGACTGACGTTAAATGATTGTCCCCAAACTATATTTTATGCACTGACCCACTCTCCTGGCAAAGACTCAAGATTGAACTCATAATATTGTAACTAGGTGACATTTTAGGTGCATTGTATTTTGACTAGCCATTTAGGCGTCGTTTCCAGAAATCTGATTTTTGATCGCTGTGTAAACTTGTAATATTGTGATTGTCTTTATTTTGCAGTGTTACGGTCTGTGATGTACGAAGCATGTTCCTGTGAGGATATAGATGGCATCTTCAACAAAGACATGATAATAATGTTGCTCATTTGGTGCGGTGTTTTGAGTTGTGTGAGCATCATTCTTTTCCTAGTGATGTGTTGTATGTGTGCTGCAATCAACAAGGACAGACGATCACAAAGCCAAACAACAGAAGCATATATTATAGACCCCAAGTCATAAGACACAAAATGCGCACAATTGGGCAAAAACTTTTCATTTTTATATTCATGTATTCTCTGTTTTGTTATAAATTATGAAAACAAAATAGATTATGATAAAGCGATTTTTAATTTTCACCCGACGTTCTTTCCCCTCAAAACAACTACTATTGCAAGTCTTACATTTCTGTCGCCCATTTTGAATACACGCCTTATGCACAAGGATAGGCAAATAGATAATGGTCATTATCCCAACGAACGAAGTTTGAGAGGATATAACAAAGCTCTCTCACCGTTCGTTCGTTTGTCTGTCAGGGCGATAACTCAAATACCACAATAGATTAATTAATGAATAAATCTACTGATTGCGGAATAAATTCTGCTATACTTTGTATAAAGTGCGTCAATGAAAACTGCGTAACCAGTTATGAGAGTTGGATTACCTCTCGCCAATTTGTCCAGTCTGAAAAGATACGGCGACCGTTCGATGTGGAACTGGCGCTGGAGAAAGTTGGAGAAAAGGGCTTTTCCGCTGAAAATGTCCACTATAACTCCTTTTATGTCCGAGTTTATCCGGTACATGCACGGCTAGATATAGCTTTTAAATAACTTTCAGACAATTCAATTTGTATGTAAGAGAAAGAGGATAAGCCGTAGATTTTTTAAGGCAACTTCAACGCAACGCATCTTCAAAGAATCTGATTGGTTATAAGGAAGTTGACCGAGAAGCTTCTTTGATAATGTATAATAAGATGCCTATGTGCCAGTGTCTTCAAGAGAACGCATTTCAAAATGTACACTATTAAAGAAGTACCTGTATATCCCCCCTAGTGTTGAGAAGTTTCAGAGTGATGAAAATAAAAGGAAATATATTTCAACAAAAAAATACTACTATTCCGCGTAGACCGTACGAAACTTTACCCAAGTTGCTTATATTGTATCGTTCACGCACGTCTGTCCATTTTTCTGTTTTTCGTCGTTTCCAAGGGTAATAGAAGTTGCAATCGCAGATATCAATATCACCTCGTAGATAAAAATGATATTCCTCAAAATCACAGGATATCCTATAATTCTTACATTTGAGGGAATATAACTTTCGAAGGGAAATAGTAAATCTATTTCGGAACACGTGGCTAGGTATTGACCAATCAGGATTAGTGTTACCTATTGGGTATATACTAATCTGTATTGGCACTCAACTTCGTCTCGTTCCAATACGGAATTTCTCGAGCAGAATTACATGTATATCCTGTATTGCACTTCAAATCATTCAATCATTCATGTGAAAAATATCGCTAGTTTAAACTCTCTATTATCTCGTTTGTGATTGTGTGCATTTATATTAAGATGTCACACATATCATCGTCTTTGTCAGAACTGGATCACCACCCAACCACCAAACTATTTCAAATACAAGAAAAAAGCCCTCAACTATAGACTGGCCATTTTAAGTATCATTTCTAGAATTACTGATTTTTGATCTCTGTTTTACTTGTTATTTTTTGATTCTTTCATTTTGCAGTGTTACGGTCTGTGATGTACGAATCATGTTCCCGTGAGGATATAGATGGCATCTCCAACAAAGACATGATAATAATGTTGCTCGTGCTCATATGGAATATATGAAATAGATGATGGTGTTTGGTTCAGAAGTTTAATACAATAATTCATATTGTATCCATATGATTATTGTTGTATAGGTTTTTGTTGCATCCCATCTCTGCCTCTCATCCAGGATTTACTTTTCCTTACATATTTCAGTGTTGAAATTGTTGTTGGCTTACTGTTTTTAATAATACGTTCATTGTAATGTTTTTGTAATGAATGCATTAGACGGTGTTAAACGTTTATGTCGCTTCTCTGAATGGAAATAACAATCAGAACATAGGCTAGGGCAATATTTTTATTGAATTTCTTTTGAGCATGTACAAACATTAAAGAAAGTTCTAATTATATTAATTTATATAATTATTATCTTACCATCGTTTATAAATTCATTTGAATCAGATTTCAAAATTGTTGGGATGCCATAAAGCTATTTGGTCAATAGAACTATAAATATTTATAAAAAATGTTGTAACATTTCATCAACATTCAAAATTTGGCGAATGCAAAAACCTTGAAATGTGAACACCTCTTAATCTGAACACTTTTAGCTAATCCCAATTGTGTTCGAATTAGACAGATTTTACTGTATACAAATACAAATATATAAGATGTCCCAAAACAAGTGAACCGCTTTTGGACAAGTATTTTGGGACACCCGATATATAGCCAAGAGGGCAATCCAAAGATAATGTTCACAAAATGGAAACACTGCAGCATTTTATGAAAATCAAAAATTGTTTAGAAACTAGAATGGTAAAAAATTAATAAAGGGCAGTTGTAAATTTAATTCCATCTTCCATCTCTCTATTGTCTCACTCTTATTAATATATACAGAAAGGCATAAAATATTAAAACATCACAAAATTAATTCAATGATTCCACTTTAGGAGGAGTAATATCTATACAACTTGTACTATAGTATTTTTAGTATATCATTTCATTTTTTTGAATTCCAATAACAATGCTAATTTTCTATAATATATTTTTATGAATATTTATTTATTTGGACTAACTCTCATATGATAAAATATCCATCAATTTAATTGCTCTCAAAAACGGGATATAAATAGACAATTGAATTTGCTAACTTGTCTACAACAAAAATCGATTTGTTTCTCCACGTTTTACAAAGTTATGAGTCTCAAAAGTCAAAATCATTTCTCACTAAACCTCTCATTGAAATAAGTAAGCTTAACAAAAAGCATGCTAAAAGTAAAACAATTCAATTGTCTACTCAGAAATTATTTTTGATAAATGTTTTACAGAATACATATCCAAATTTTCTTACCTATTGTATAGAGAGATTAAATTGATCCTGAAATATAGAAAATAGAGTCAAGGTACATATCCATTTACATTATCAGTTTTTCTTTCGTTTCGGGCTTAGAAAATAGAGTTTAAAGATACATAGGGTTTAACATGTAAACCTATGAGGATAAATACTGGTCCTTAACTTTTTTTGAGGAGAATATTTATAGAAAGGCATAAAACACTAAAATCACAATTCAAAGCTCTATTATACAACTAATATGTTCATTGGAAATAAAATGTTTTACACATTGTATAGGTCATGTAGGTTGGTTTTAGATTTTTTTCTTGTGTTACAACTTTTATTGTTTTACCATGTTCTGAAATAAATTATTGACAAATCAAGTCACATTAAATCCCGGGTAGAATAGTAGTTCTCTATCCATATATTTTATAATTTGTCTAATCAATCAATGTTATTTTTTCTTTGCCAGTTCCGTTAGAATAGCTTTTTCTCATTCATTCAGATCATTATATTGCAACAAAAAGTGTAAATACCTTTTAGTTTTGAAATAGGAGTTTATTTACGAGACTCTGTCACGCAAAATAGATAGTATTTCTGAGATAAATAGTGCGACATTAGGTCCATATACCTTTAAATGTCATCCTTTTTATACCGTATGAAAATAATTGAAATGTTGGACCCATATGTTCCATTAGTCTATGTTGTGAGCACAATACACGGTATTGGGGAAAATCACGATATTATATACGATTCTTTTAGACTCTCTGACGTGCTAAACGTATCTTCGCAAACAAAATAGCACCTGAGTTCCAACTGTATGGCAGTTGTCTTCAGTTTTAATTAACCAAAGTAATGTAATATCTCTTATTATGGAATGGTATATGTGTTGACTACCATTGTATTTAAAATCTGATTTGGGCCAATTAATTACATGTTGGGGGTCGACAGTCATATTTAACTAGGGGAAACCTCAAACCAGCTCAACAACGGCTAATGTACCCATAATTGCAATCTTTCATTTAGAACTATTATTTTAAATAGGTTTTTGGTTGCTTGGTTATGTTTTAAAATTTGTAAACCGCGTGGCTGTGCAACACTATCCACTGGGCGGGGCTAATCAGTGGAGCGACCTCGGGTACTAAACCGCATGCATCTCTTCCGGGGTATATCTACACTGATCATACCTATTGCCTTTTATATTTTTATCATTTCGGCGAAAAGTTGATCAGATTATAAACAAGAACATGTTAAACTGATAAATGATGTTTCATGGCAAGTAAGAAATATATAAATTAAGAAAATGATGTGAAATCGTATGAGAAAAAAATGATTTTAGATCTTGAAAATGTATAGAATATGTTCATAATCTTATCATCCAGAAACAAATGGATGAGTCGAATGAATCACTTTGAAATCAGCTTGTTATTTATATTATTTTATAGATATTTCACAAATGAAGCATGAATGTCAAACTAATTTTTACATTTTACAACAGATTTTTGACAACAGCAAAAAGTAGCATTCACTCTATTAAAGTTATTAAACCTATCTCGTTATAACAATATCAATTCAATGAGTATTTAGTTGAAGTGTTCTATTATCCGGATCTATGAAATTGACTAGGTACTCGGATTTGTTCAAGATGTCATTATAAAGTTCAAGCATATGGTGCTTTATTGTAAATTCCGGGTATTTCCTGATGTTTATTCAGATTTATTGTATCAGATATCAAAGTTTGATGTATGATATGATGCTTTACTCAATAAATTACGCAAAGTTTTATAAAAGGCGTGAAATATGTTTTGGCATTTAGATTTTTAATTTAAAGATCTTTTTCTTTAACCCTTTTTAAAACTTTTCCCATAATTTGAATTGTATAATTTATTGCAATTTTGCCCTCGGTGAAATCGGATTTAAAAACTGTTTACTCCGCGTTAATCTATTTCCATTGCGGTAAGATTTGTCATGACTCAAATAAACACAACAAAACATTATATATTATTTTGTATTTTCATTTTACATTATTACATTGATTTTTATCGGGTCAGCTGAATCACAGACAGCATAGGTTTCATAATTTATTCTCAAACAATATTTACAATTATCATCTGATTTTCACCGATACATTCCTCTATTATATCCCCATAGCTTTTCCTTAACACCTTTTCGGTACTCTGCAATTTAACACTACTTTTAGTTTTATTCTCATAGAGCATTGGTGATTCTGGCAGGATAATGTTAAGTGAACCTAACGTTTATCTTCATTAGTGGATAATTAACTAGTAGTTTTCCTCAAAATAGTTGTCCCCCTTCCTAGTTCCTATCCCCCGGGCTATCCCCATACCTCACCTCCCCAGGAAGTCTAATAGTCCTGTATGTTATCTCGTAAGCAAATCAATATCAGTTAAATTGGTATCAGCAAATGTGCATGATTAGAATCTGAAGTGTTAATTTCACCTGTAGTCTTGCATTCATTGTTTAACTTTGATATAGTTG